GGCCTGCTTGACAAGATCGAGTCTGTCTCGGTCCGACCTAGAGACTTTATAATACGCTCCTATCGAGATGGCACGATCCTCAGCAAGCAAAACATGGTACCCTACGCGGAAAAGCGTTACGGTGTCCCTTACCTACACATTCACCGTGCAGACTACCACCGCATTCTGGTAGCTGAAGCCGAACGGTTAGGAGTGAAGCTGCAACTGGGTTCCACGGTCACAAAAATAGATTTCGATACCGCCTCCATTCTAATAAGAGACAAGCCCGACTTTCATGCGGATCTCATCCTCGGTGCTGACGGGTTGAAATCTATCTGCCGTGAATCACTTCTTGGGCACATCGACCCACCACACCTGACTGGTGACCTGGCATATCGAATCCTCATCAAGGCTGAAGACATGAAGAAGCATGCTGATCTGCGCGAGCTGGCCGAAGAGCCGGCAATCAATTACTGGATGGGACCCTATGGCCACGTCGTCTGCTACCTTCTGCAAGGCGGTGGGTTGTATAACATCGTACTCATTTGTCCTGACAACTTGCCTGAGATGATAAATACTATCAAAGCGGACCTACAAGAAATGCGAGAATTCTTCGCTGGGTGGGACCCAAAGTTGAAAACACTATTGGGCCTTGTGCAGGAAACGACGAAATGGAGGCTGTTGAACAGCGAAGAGATGGAGAGCTGGAGTCATCCTAGTGGGAAATTTGCCCTGCTAGGGGACGCTTGTCATGCTACTTTGCCCTACCTGTAAGTCTTCCCCATATTTCGCCTCTGTCGTTTGCAAATTTGACAAGAAACTCGCAGTGCTCAAGGCGCGGCCCAGGCCGTTGAAGATGGAGCCGTCCTCGGTGCTCTTTTTGAGCGGATAGAGCAAAAGTCACAAATATCAGACGTTCTCACTATCTATGAGCGTCTCCGCAAGGAACGCACGACCCGCGTCGTCAAGGGAAGCACAGCTTTGAGGGACATCTTCCATATGAAGGATGGTGAACGCCAACGGGAGCGCGATCGCCAGTTGACCCAGCAGGAGCCATTCGAAGGATACCCAAATCGCTGGGCCGATCCTATATTCCAGGAATACCTATTTGGATACGATGCTTTTGCGGAAGTGGACATGGCGTGGAAAAGGTACAAATCGGGAACGTTCCCAGGTACTGCAGGCCATTTCAAATCGAACCTTTGAGGACGGGAATGTGAGACCGGATTTAAGATTTACCATGGGGACTCCCTTTATGACCTCGTGTAGTAATACAATTTCCGCATAGCTTTGAATCAATGCAGTAACAATTAGAGCACCTCTATCCTGGTCACTATGTATCTATCTGTCTCTGATCATTGGGTTCCCAAAATCAGCAGGGACCATAGTCATGTAGGTTCTGATAGCCGTCGGTCTCAACTCGGCTCGCTCGGCTGTTTGGATAACGGTTCAAAAAAGCAAATAACAACATACGTCAACCCATCATGGACTCGGCGGCACAAGACTAATCTTCAGATGTTCTGCATACCTACACTCTCATTGTTTTTGGCAGAATTACATCCCATGTCCAAATGCTCTTAATGGGTATGCAATCAGGATGAAGGGTTTGACAACACTGCCAACATAGATCCTAATCCTGGCCCCGGACACTCCTTTGTCCTTAGTCTCTACACAATGGCGACCCGAAGCCGTTTCTTTCGGCCCCTCCTCTACACCGCTGCGGTAGCTGCAGCCGGAGGGGGCGTACTCTACATCTCGTACAGACCGCGAAACATACCTGGCTCAGAGCCAGCACTTGTACCTCCGCCCAAGTATGGCGAAGAAGGGCACCTGGATCCTCCGAGGTTTCCCCTGGTCAAAAATCGAGAAGAGCAAATCGCGGATCTGAAGAGGAGCGCCGGCGTGATAAGCGCATTGGAAAAGACAAAAGGTGTTCTGGGCAGCTTGACAGGACCTGGCGTTGTGGATCAGAGAATTCCCGAAGCAGAGCCATATGATCTGCTGGTCATTGGTGGTGGGGCTACAGGCTCAGGAATTGCACTCGATGCGGCTACACGTGGGTTGAAGGTTGCGATGGTGGAGAGGGACGACTTTGCTAGTGGCACAAGTAGCAAGAGTACGAAATTGGTGCATGGGGGAGTGAGATACTTGGAAAAGGCTGTGTGGGAGCTTGACTACAACCAGTATGCATACGACAACGTACTTGGACACCGCTGAATTGATTCAGGTACAAGCTCGTTAAGGAGGCCCTACGGGAGCGGAAGTACTTTCTGGATACCGCACCTCATCTTTCGAGTTGGTTGCCCATCATGATCCCCATACAAAAGTGGTGGCAAGCGCCATACTTCTGGGCTGGTACTAAATTCTACGACTTCCTTGCTGGGTCCGAAGGCATCGAGAGCTCTTATTTCTTAACAAAGAGTAGGGCAATGGATGCTTTCCCAATGTTACGGAAAGACAACCTCTTTGGGGCTCTGGTCTACTACGGTATAGGAACCCTTCCCTGGATTTTGTATGGATCAATGCTGACGTTCACCAGATGGTGCTCATAACGATTCGCGAATGAATGTATCGTTGGCAATGACAGCAGCGCTTTACGGTACTACTGTGGTGAATCATCTTGAGATTACTGGCCTGGAGAAAGACGCAGCTGGCAAGCTCATTGGAGCTCGGGCCAAGGATATGGTGCAAGAGCGAGACGGAAAGAGCCCACAAGAGTTCAGCATTAGAGCCAAGGGTGTCATCAACGCCACCGGCCCCTTCACCGACGCAATACGTAAGATGGACGACCAAAGTGTCAAGGAAATTGTTGCGCCTAGCTCTGGAGTCCACGTCATTCTACCTGGGTTTTACAGTCCTTCGAAGATGGGTCTGATTGATCCCTCAACCTCGGACGGCAGAGTCATTTTTTTTCTCCCATGGCAGGGCAACACCATTGCTGGAACTACAGACGCACCTACAAACATTACTCCAAATCCAATCGCTGGTGAAGAAGAGATCAACTGGATCCTCTCGGAGATTCGCGGCTACCTAGCTCCCGACATCAACGTGCGAAGAGGTGATGTACTTGCGGCGTGGTCCGGTATCAGACCTCTCGTCAAGGATCCCAAATCCAAAAACACCGAGTCGCTTGTTCGGAACCACCTGATTACCGTATCTGACTCCGGCTTATTGACCTGTGCAGGCGGCAAATGGACGACCTACAGGCAAATGGCTGAAGAAACCGTGGATGAGGCCCTCAAACTCTACGATATTAAAGCCAGTTCTGTGCTTGAAGTGCCACACATCAGCGGCACCGAACGCATGGATGACAGCGCGCCGCTAGATGGTACTTGCCAAACCCATCAAGTCCGTTTGATCGGTGCGCATGGCTTCTCGAAAACGCTTTTTATCAATCTCATCCAGCATTTTGGCATCGAAAGTATTGTTGCTAAACATCTGTGTGAGTCATATGGAGACCGCGCGTGGACCGTGGCTGCCTTGTCATCACCCACAGAGCAAAGATACCCGGTGCGGGGTGTTAAGATCTCCGCGCTCTACCCCTTCATCGACGGCGAGGTTCGCTATGCAGTACGCCACGAGTACGCCCAGACAGCAGTGGATGTCCTTGCGAGACGGACGCGGCTGGCTTTCCTTAATGCCCAGGCAGCCCTTGAAGCACTACCTACTGTCATCGATCTCATGGCGGACGAACTGAAGTGGGACCGGAAGCGAAAGGATAGGGAATGGAAAGATACAGTGCAGTTCCTGGCGTCGATGGGCTTGGCAAAGAGCAAGCTCAGCATGACGAGGAAGGATGTGGAGAATGGTAAAGCTGGAGAGTATGATGAGCATGAAAGGAAGCTCTACTCGAGGCATGGTATGTTCACGACCGGATAGTTTCTTGATGGATCGCTACTGACGAAATGCTGCAGATGCTCCAGCGGATACGATGGAGAGCGATTCCAAGTTCAGCTCTGGCGAGAAGCCTGTTCTGAAGACAGACTCGTCCGTCAACAAATAGTGATCCCGCTGGAGTGTATAGTATATCGACGAGACCAGGGTTCATTTCTGGATAGCAATAGATTGGGTCAATGAGACAATTTTCTTTAGCACACAACCCAATCAACGATACTGAGATACGGTCGATTTTATCAAGGCCTCAGCAATGCTCGTTTTTATCAGCGATGCTTCCACTCGCTTTCTTCAGCCAATGCAATTCCCAGTTTCTACTTTACGAATCCCAAGTCCAACATGCTGAGGCTCCACCTCTGACAGTCTAATGTGCCGCATCCCCGCCGCCAAGCCTCTCCCGCTTTCCTATGACGTAATTACCCCATCGTTCGGGTGGAATTACTCGAGCCTCATATCTGCTCATGTTCATTTGTTTGTTGGACAGTTGGACTTGATACTTTCCTCCTCTGTCTTATCGGTCACTACTATGATGTTAGTGGATCCAGTCATCGTATCTCTGCACGCAAGGCATACATCAGATTGGATCACTCATCCTCTATCGCAAAAGATGTGGATGCCTTGTCAGAATATGAGGCCGATATTCTATTTTCCTTTTCGAAATCGAACACTGCGTCTGATATCCGATGAACGCCGAGACCCCGGCAACATAGGGCGAAATTTGTTGCCTCTCGACGTTTATCGGATAATTGGCTCATGCGAGAATGCCATTTAATAATGCCAAATTGACGCAATAATATGTGGAGAACGATGGCATTTTCCCTGGCAAGCTTAAAAAAAAGGAAGCAGCCGGATCTGCATATCTACCACGTACCTTACATTTTCATGTACGGTAATACACACGCGACAATACCAACATTCACCAACATCCTTTAACCTTCAAGCATAGTTACATATCTTATCAGCATCCCAGCTCTTGCTTTCCCCAATCGCCCGCGTCGCTGTCTGCCTTCCGCCACCTCCCAACGCCCAAGGGTTGGAGCTTACTTAAGTACCTGTCAAGCCCGAATTCTTGGCTTGAGCTCCTCCCACCTCCCAGCATCCTCAAGCTGTTCAACCGCGCTTTAACTATGGCTACCAACGATTACAAGCACGGCTACGGCGGTGATGGCCTCGTCAACGGCAACAGCTCAAGCCAAGACTACGACGAGAAGGCCCGCAGTGATTTTGAAGTCGTTCCTTCGAAGAGCAAGGGCTCTATGGGGAAGGACGATCCCTTTGGAGATGAGACGAATTCAGAAGTCAAATATAGGACTATGGCTTGGTGGTCAGTAGCGTCTTCCGAATTTCAGGCCTACGACTCGGCTAATAGCATGTTCACAGGCAAGCGGGAATGAGTATGCAACCCAGGCTCGAGACCATTAGAAACTGCATCTTACTGATGGTCTGCAGTCATGATCGCCGAGACGATCTCCCTCGGGATCCTCTCGCTCCCCTCCGTTCTTGCCTCCCTCGGTATCGTACCGTACGTTCAATTCCTCAAAGGCCCGCCAAGTCCATGACTGACGATGCTTCCAGCGCCGTCATCTTAATCATAGGTCTCGGCATCATCGCAACGTACACCGGCTACGTAATTGGCCAGTTCAAACTCGCCTATCCCCACGTCCACAACATGGCCGACGCAGGCGAAGTCATGGCTGGTCGAATTGGTCGAGAGATCTTCGGCGGCGCCCAAATCCTCTTCCTGGTCTTTGTCATGGGCAGCCATATCCTCACATTCTCCATCATGATGAACACAGTGACTTCTCACGGAACCTGCACGATTGTGTTTGGCATTGTGGGCATGATGGTGTGTATCGTCTTCTCGCTACCGAGGACGTTGAAGAAGGTTAGCTATATGGCTATTGCAAGTTTCATCTCTATCTTGTCGGCCGTGATGATCACCATGATTGGTGTTGGTGTGGAAAGGCCGGGCAGTGGGAAGGTGGATGTAACGGTTCAGTCAGACCTCTCTAAGGGCTTTGAAGCAGTTACCAACATCATCTTCGCCTATGCAGGTAAAACCCTTCCTCCTCTCTTTTTATGTCTCTCTCCTACTAATAGGGGACCTAGGCCACGTCGCATTCTTCTCCTTCATCTCCGAACTCCACACTCCAGAATCCTACCCAAAAGCCGTTTTCCTCCTCCAAGGCGTCGACATCTCCATGTACCTAATCGTCGCAATCGTGACCTACCGCTATGCCGGCAGCGATGTCGCATCCCCAGCTCTCGGCTCCACTTCCCCTCTCTTACGGAAAATAGCCTACGGAATCGCGATCCCTACCATTGTGTACGTTTTTTTGGACTTCAAATTCCCCTTTTCGTAATTGAATCCTGAGTCTTGAAGCATGTCTTGGGAGTGTCTACTCTCTAGACACGTTCCAAGGTTCTAAATACCCTCTTGAAACAGGCAGTACTGACTCCGGAATAAAATTTAGGATCGCCGGCGTGATCAACGGCCACGTCGCGTCAAAGTACGTATACGTTCGTCTGTTCAGAGGCACGGACCGGATGAGCAAGAAGAGCTGGAGCAGTTTTGGACTATGGGCTGTCATCGTGCTGGTGCTTTGGACCATTGCGTGGATTATCGCCGAGGCCATTCCCGTGTTCAACGACTTATTGTCACTCATCAGCGCTCTGTTTGCGAGTTGGTTTACGTATGGGCTGAGCGGTGTATTTTGGTTATATTTGAATTACGGGCAGTACCGGAGCTCGAAGCGGAAGATGTTTTTGACCGGGGTGAACGTAGGATGTTTCTGTCTCGGGGCCATCATTGTGAGTTTCACCCTCTCATCCACTTTGCTTACAGGGGGATTATCCTGGCATTGAAACATGCTGACGGAGGTCTCAGTGTGGACTAGGACTATATTCGTCCGGGACGGCCATCAACAAGGACGCCACGAGCTCAAACGGGAGCTTTTCATGCGCGGATAACTCAAAGAGTTCGTCTTGATGCTCGCTTGCGAAGTATGGATTCTCATCTTTGGACTAAATAGTCATGCATGTATGTAACGTTGATTTCACGCGCGGCTTAGATGAATGCGCCGAAAGTCAGCTCTTCCGCATTGAGCTCGCCCTGACTGATACCCTCTGGTATACATATAGCGTACGCACGTACATAGACAGAGTGCGCAAATGAAACCCTATCTAAAACACCACCACCCAATTGACCCCACATTTCTCAGAGGCCGCTCTCTCCCCCCAGCTCAACCCGCTCCCTCCAAAGCAAGCGCCTCCTTCCCATACCCCCAGCCGCACCCTCTCCCTCCAGCCCGAACCCACTCTCTTCCACTCCACCTCCTCCGGCACGCGGAAACAACGATCGAACTCCGACGCCAGCACACGAGACGGACCGGGACGGCGGCCAAACCCGACGAGTGCCGATAGATATCTCGAGTCAACGTTGCGAAAAGGAAAAGAGCCCGACGGCGCGGACGAGAACGAACACGTCGACGGTCCTCTGCCACGGAGCGGTCTTCAAGCGACGGCGACGGGCGGGGTAGATGGAGGAGGGGGAGGGGGAGGGGGAGGGGGAGGGTAGTTTTGCTTTCCGAGAGGTGGGGACGGGAAAGGGGGTTGGGAGGGAGGGATTGAAGCCAGGCGATACGTTCTACCTACACTACATACCCGCATTCTACCCATGAGCGAACGTCTTGGTCTTTTCCTTCTGGTTGATGGGGTCAATGATGCAGTTGGAAGCAGTCGCCGAATGCACGTTGGATGTTTGAGGATTGATGGGGTGAACGCTATGACGGCGGTCGATTGCCAGCTAGCTACATTGGTGCGCTCACTGTCTGCAGACCCAGCCGCCCGTCATCATCATCATTTTGCGCCCTCCGTTCATTCACACAGTCCTATTCGCTCCTTCTGCAGGCAACAGAGATCACCTGCTCTTTCTGCCTCGGCCGTGATACTTGCCACTGCCGCCACCGGCTCAGAAGCCCGTCGGGCTTCACAGCTGACTGGCCAAAGGGAAAAAAAGGGGCAGATCGATAGGCGATACAGGCGCATGACTTAAACAAACGGCGAGTCCCAAGTCTTGGGAAGGTGGTCGACCCAATTGTGGGGAGAGGATGCCATGCAGGCGGTAGCCATTGTGACTGGAAGGTAATTGGATTAGTTGAACGTGAGCCAGCCAAGAGCTGATGGCGATGGGAAGTACGCTTATGTTGATATGATTGTGGTCCCAAGCGGTGTAACGACATTATTGATACCTAAGCCAATCAAGATACAAAAGTCGAGATTCCTCGCGTATGACCGCATGGTTCAAGCTCAACGTCGACCGTATCAGGGTCCTTTGGTGGATAACCTCTGACAGCGAGAGCGATTACACCGTAAAGAACTGTCAAGGTCAGCCCCTCTAATAAAATCCCTTTTCAACGAAGATAATCTCCAAGTCAGGAACTGACCGCTTCACAACAGTTTGATTCACCACCCGCCGTTGAATATCTCAGGCTTATGATGGCGAAAAAAATGCATGCGACTCCGAATCCATCGAATGAAAGTGTCATTTTTGGATCTCCGAGCATCCAACCCTCGAGAACTGTGCAAGGTAATACTAACAGCAGGAGTAGCTGGGCGCTGCTGCTGATGCTGATCGCAAAGCTTCGCAGCATCTGATCACGGCAAGCTAGCGTTATAGCATGAGGTTTATAGCCTATATATGGGCAGAAGGACGAGACCGAGGAATACCCTCGATAGACCAAAGCTCGACTGACTAAGATTCTCGACACTGTTGCAAACAGGGGTTGTATTGAAGTCTACGAGCATCGTGTCAACAGCCACCATCAACACCAGCGCAACGCGGGAAACAATGCAAACGGCGTCTTTGTTCCGGTGTGAGCGACAGTGCCGCTGACAGAGGCTGCCAGACGAAGGCCGAGTCGAGCGACACCGCTTTCTCTGTCGACTCTGGTGTTCCCGATCCTCCATTTTCGCGCTTTTTGGTTAGGTCTGAGGATATGTCGCTTTCGTTCATGCCAAAAGCAGGGGGAGCAAGGCTTGTAGGGTTTGAAGAAAGGGTCAAGCATGTCAATGTTTCCCCTACGTACGGTCGTTGAGATCAGGAGACCTAAGCGACATACATTAAGCTAAGTGGATCGTCGGATGCTGCACCCCAAGATCTATCCGGGATTGCGTCACACTGCTTGCATAATCCCCTGCATTATATTTATATTCCTTCCACAACAACTTCAGTCCGTCTTCTACTTATCTTCAGTCTTGCCTATAATTGATCACTAAACAGCTTCCTAGCACACACATATATAACAATGGCACCATCGCTTCCTACAAGACAGCTTGGCAAGAATGGTAAGGTCCCTCTCCGAGCGATGTTCTCCCGTTTTGTACCTTCTTCGGAGTCTTTTAAACATGATGTGGGAGTAAGAAATCAGCTGTTCTGTTTTAAAGCTCCTCCGACATGCGCTGTAGCTTGAATCTCATCTTGAACCCGTGATGCTGACTCCGAAATCATAAAGGTCCTCAAGTCACCGCACTCGGCTTCGGCGCCATGGGTCTGTCTGCCTTTTACGGCAAGCCTGAGTCCGATGAGGACCGCTTCAAGATCCTTGACAAAGCGTACGACATGGGCGAGACGTTTTGGGACTCAGCGGACGTCTATATGGACAATGAGGACTTGATTGGCAAGTGGTTCAAACGGACCGGTAAGAGGGACGATATCTTCTTGGCCACCAAGTTCGCCAACACCATGAAGGATGGGAGCATGACGGTCAGAAGTGACCCTGAGTATGTGAAAGAGGCGTGCGAGAAGAGTCTGAAGCGCTTGGGCATCCCCACCATTGATCTTTACTACTGTCATCGCTTGGACCGAAAGACACCGGTGGAGAAGACTGTCGAGGCTATGGCTCAATTGAAGAAGTAAGTATGATTGTTGAAGTCCATTATTTGGACGGACTCGTCGCAACACTCCAAGCGCACATGCTAACAAGTCTGCAGAGAGGGCAAGATCAAGTATCTCGGCTTGTCTGAAGTCTCGTCTGCCTCGCTCCGCCGTGCCCACGCCGTCCACCCCATCTCCGCAGTACAAATCGAGTACTCCCCCTTCACCACCGATATCGAGTCCCCAGACATCGCTCTTCTAAAAACCTGCCGCGAACTTGGTGTCGCCACTGTCGCCTACTCTCCTCTAGGCCGCGGTATGTTGACCGGCGCCTACAAATCACCAGCAGACTTTGAGGAGGGCGACTTCCGGAGTCGCTCGCCCCGCTTCTCGGAAGAAAACTTCCCCAAAAACTTGAAGTTGGTGGAAGAAATCAAACAGATTGCACAGAAGAAGGGTTGCACGCCGGGGCAGCTCACTTTAGCCTGGCTTTTAGCACAGGGCGAGGATGTGATTCCCATTCCCGGGACCAAAAAAATCAAATACTTGGAGGAGAACCTAGCAGCTCTCGAAGTCAAGCTTACGTCGTCTGAGAATGCGGATATCAGGAAAGCAGTCGAAAATGCTGAAGTACACGGACAGAGGTATCCCGAGCAGATGATGGGGACCCTGTTTGCTGACACTCCTGAGCTAAAGTAGATCCATCTGCTGAATGATTTGGCTACTGCTTTGATCACAGTGGGTCACTGTTTTATTGTAAACAGCATGAATATAAATAAAGACTTGCACATAAGCTGTAAACCGGGTGGGGTCCCGGACTTACCATCCGTTGCCCTTATAGTTGCAAGAAATTGAAAGAGCTTGCTAAAGCTAACGCGGCAAAAGAAGGTGACTTTGGATTCAAGATGTCCAACGTCCATATTGCTGAAGCCTCCGCCAGACATATCGGGTTTGCGGCGCACAACGGGGCTGTTCCCCATCCAGCAGCACGTTGCAACGTCCCGGGATCCCAAGTCCGTCTTCCTTATTTAGGACAAATAATGGCAGCATTTCCTTGCTAGATGGTAGCACTAAGTCTGTTTGCTTTCAAGGCATGCACGTGTCGTAATTCAATGATTTTTGTCCCGTAACACTCTGACTCGCCGTTATTTTGAAGAACATGTGAAAACTGCCAAAGTAGCAATCCCTTGCAATCTGACAAGCCAGGTGCATCTTCCTTTCCTATGGTCTTGTGCACCGTATCTCAGTGGCCGTTTCCCCATTCGAGCACTCAATCTCCAGGCCCCTGGTTGTCAGTATGAGCTCAGAGGAGCGCAGCGTAAAGGAGGCAGCAGTGTAACACTACATGAGATCAATGCCGGAGGATCTCGGGCTGAAAAATGGCAGAAATGAGCACAGGGGAAGGGAAGACTGCCACAGGCGAGAGCTATGAGCTGAGCTTGTTCCGAAAGATGAGAGGCGTCAGATATCTTGCCGCCCAATGGCCGCGATACCTTCAAATCGACGCTAGAACCGGAACCGTAGGTTCTTGAGATACCAAGAAGCCATGCTTAAGACTTTTGGGAGACTAAGACTAGCGTTAGGGCAAACCGCGCAGCCTCGGCATCTTCCCCAGATTACTCCTCCTAGACACAATGTGTGCCCCAGTCATGATCAACGACGAGCATCATGGGTAAGAAACCAGTCTCGGCAGCCTACGTCTTAGGCGTAGGTCTCACCAAGTTCATCAAACCTCGAGGCAAAGGTAGGCTTATTTCCCTCGGCGTCCTTCAGCCTCTCTGAGTCTCTCTGCAGTCGACTACACCGAACTCGGCTTCGAAGCCGGCATCAAAGCCCTTCTCGACGCCCAAATCAACTATGACGATGTTGAACAAGGTATTGCCTGCTACTGTTACGGCGATTCGACCTGCGGCCAACGCGTCTTCTACCAATTCGGCATGACGCAAATTCCCATCTACAATGTCAACAATAACTGCTCGACCGGCTCGACAGGCTTGCATATTGCGAGGAACATGGTCCGTCATGGAATGGCGGATTGCGTGATGGTCGTGGGCTTTGAGAAGATGTTTCCGGGGAGTCTGCAGTCTTTCTACAAGGACAGAGAGGATCCGTGTAGGACGACTGGGGAGATGATGAGGGTGACGAGGGGGAGGACGGACGCACCGGGGGCGGCGCAGATGTTTGGCAATGCGGGAAGGGAGTACATGGAGAAGTACACCTCGTCTCATTTCTCGATACCCGAGGACTCGTCCCAGCTGACAGCTGCCTTTCTCCAGATACGGCGCCAACGCAAGCGACTTTGCCGAAATTGCCCGCATAAACCACCTCCACTCAGCCAAGAACCCATACTCCCAATTTCGCGACGTCTACACCCTCGATCAGATACTCTCTTCACCCACCATCCACTCACCCCTCACAAAACTCCAATGCTGCCCCACCTCCGACGGCGGCGCCTCCGCTTTAGTCGTCTCCGAAGACTTTCTCGCCGCTCGTCCACATCTCCGTTCTCAAGCCATACAAATAGCAGGCCAACACCTCGCCACCGACAGACCTGATCTGTTCGACCACTCCGCTATCAATCTGATGGGTTTCGGAATGACACAGCATGCCGCACGCACTGCCCTGGCTGAAGCGGAAGTTGATCCGAAAGACGTAAGGGTGTGCGAGTTGCACGATTGTTTCTCAGCGAATGAGATGATCACGCTCGACGCTCTTGGTCTTTGCGACCCAGGCAAAGCACATGAGATGGTGCGAGCGGGAGACATAACATACGGAGGTCGCTGCGTCGTCAATCCCTCCGGGGGCCTCATATCAAAGGGCCACCCTCTCGGAGCAAGCGGCATCGCGCAGTGCGCGGAGCTCGTCTGGCAGCTGCGCGGCTGGGCCAACAACCGGCTAGTCGAGAACACAAAGGTCGCGCTGCAGCACAATCTCGGTCTTGGCGGCGCCGCGGTAGTGACGGTTTACAAGAGGGCGGACGGAAAGACGAATGAGGTCGTGCAAGATCGAGATGTCAAAAGCAAGACGTGGGTTGGGTACAACCCCGCGGTTGAGGCCAAGGGGTTCACGAAGGCGCAGGTGGATAAAGTGAGGAGTAAGAAATCGAGGAGCGAATGGGCGTTGCAGGATACGGAGAAGAAGGTCGAGGCGAGGTTTTGAGATAAATGAGACGACGAAGTCTGAGCGTTCACAAGGGAAGAATCGGGGTCGTTTTGAATGTTGTATGGATATGAGACCATGGTATCACGAAATTATGAAGAGTCAGGATACACATCCGAGCAAGCAAAACCAGGGCCAAAAGCCCGTAATACTGTGAATCTTCAATCAAGCACCCGTTCAAGAGAGCAAGAGTGATGGCTCAAGCCCACCAAACCGTACCGTCCCGGCTGCATCGAACCTCTATCCGTCGCAGCGGCATGAATCCACTAGAACGAGCCACCCGACCCCTCTCAACCACATAGACAGTACTCAAGCATCCATTCCGCTCATAAAATCATCCCCTCCCCTCCCCTCCCAACCAAACCAACCAAACCCAAACCAAACCCAAACCCCAACGCCCTTCCTTTCCCCAACCCCAACGCCCTTGCTTTCCCCACCCCCGGTTTAAACACCCATCCCCTCCCCGTCCGCCTCGGCCCCCCTGACCGTCTTGCCCGTCTTCTTGATCTTCTCGAGCACGGCGGCAAAGGGGACGGCGTCGGTGTAGACGTCCGCGGTCTGGGCCTCGAGGTTGACGGCGTAGGAGGCGAGGCCTGTGGGCTTCGTGAGCGATGATGGTCAGATGCGAAGAACGAACGGACGGCGAGGAAGGAAGGAAAGGGGCATAAGCAGGGAACATAGAATACGCGAGGGCGACGAGGGAGGGGAGGAAGGAAGGAAGGAACGGAGAAAGAGCCCTACCCTCCGTCTTCTTGAGGACGCGCTCGACGGCGCCGGAGCAGCCGCCGCAGGTCATGGTGATGTCGAAGTGGTAGTGGTGGGCGGGCTCGGTGGATGCCATGGCTGGTTCGTTCGTTTGTTTGTAGAAAAGAGGTGGTGGGCACGGTGGAGGTGGGATTCGGATGTTGGGGGGTGGAGGTGGGTGGCTGGGGTGGTGCTTGTGTGTGGTGTCGAAAGCTGGCGGGTTGTGTGTGTGTCCGGGGGGGGTGTTCGGGTGGCGGGAGAGGGTTGAAATGGTCGCAGGGTTTGTGGGGTTGTGCTGGAGAAGGGATATGATGTGATTTGATGTGATGTGATCTGGGTTGGTTTTGCAGATGAGATGTTGAAGGTGTAAAGTAAAGTAGTAGAGGGAGGTTACAGCCAGCCGCGGTTACGGTGTCATTGGGAAGGAAAGGGTTTACTAAGAATAGGTCTATGGCGTGCTTTGTTCCTACGCCTATTGCAGCAGCAAAATTTCTGTTCCTCCATCTCTTGGCAAGACAATCCGCGAGGAATCGTACGGTCTGGCAAGAGAAGCCGATGAACACTTTCCGCTCCGCCAGCCCCCCATCTGATTCAGACAACTACTCTAGAGAATGATCGATGAAATGGGGACTTGAAAGGGGAGCGATGTGCCCCCCCCCCCCCGGCCTTCTCTGAACTCTTCGACAGTTCCTTTACCAGCGATGACGACCCATGTGCAAATTATTGCCTCAAGTAAAGCGGAAGAAGTGAACTCCTGCGTATCTCCCTTCGCAAGAGATGAAAGGGGCGAAAGAGGACATGATCGCTATTCTATTTGTGATACAGTCTAGGAACGTTTATCAGACCGGATTTGATTGAATTTGGAGCGTGAGCGAGCGTGCTCAGTCTGCTGCCCGATCCTCGTTGTACGATACGGGTGACACACGCTTCCCATGGCTCCGTACCAATGTCTCTTACTTATTCGGTGGAAGCAAACCGTTACTGGGCTACGGCAGAGCTATCTTATATGACGGCTATCATATACGACTCTTCAAACTCCCCGTAGCACCGGGCGAGTCAAGCGCTGTGGCCCTTGTCACCGGAAATCGTTTGATGCTCGACCTTCGTCGCGAGGTGAACTGAAGATGGTGGGTTTATCATGGGTATGCCCAGGGAACACCTTTGCTTAGATACCATCCATCTCAGTAATCTAGAACATATTTGTTAGTATCTCATTCCAAACAGATCCTTCCCCAATTACCCTCCTCCACCAATCCAAAAGCCTCCCCGTACATCAGCCCATCCACATAGGCCTCCCCAATCAACCGGCTACAACCCTTCCCTTCTCCTGACCGGATAACAAACGGCGTCCACGCATTCCGGATCACACAGATCTGATCTCCTACCCTCACCCCCTCAGGCCCCAAACCAATCCTTCCATGTTCCGTGGAAAAGAAACGCCGCCCTATACAACCTAAACTCGCAGAGCGGAAGAAGACATTTACATCCACTGCCTGGGCGTCAGTGCACGGCTTACCCATCGAACGCGCAATCGCAGGCTGGCGCTCCATCGCGGCGGCGATAGCCAAGCCGACTTTCATGAGGACGTACACGTCGCGCTGGTTGCTGGTGCACTTTTTGCCGTTCAGGGTGTTGGCGATAAGAGCGCGCCAATGCGCTTCTGGAACGTCTCTGCTTGAAGGCGAACAGTATACTCTTTGAGAGAGTTTCAAGCAAGCGTCTTCCCAAACGAGTGTACGAGCTGCTCGGCCGTCGCTGAGGGGGATGTTGGCGGAGTTGTCCCATTGCCAGCCATTGGGGACGACTTGGACGATTCGATCGAGTGTTACACCGCTGACGCTAAGGAGGTTGTTTACTGTGGACGTTGTGGCGTGAAAGAGGTTATTGAAGGCGTGAAGGATGCTAGAGGTAGAGGTTAGAAAGGAAGGGTTCAGGCCTGCGTGGTGAATCGGACCACCCTCGCCGTTTAGAGGTTTGTATCGGGAGGTAGTCCGCGGACCCGCGAAGTTGGACCACAAGGATGGGAGACTTGCGAACGGCTGGTTGGGAAACAGCAAAGGGAAGAATTTGACACCGGCATTATTTGCGATATCATGCTTTGCTGCTTCGCTGCCGAGCATTTCTGAGGCCCGAGGGCCTGAGAAGTTAGGACACCAGGATGGGAGACCTTCAAGAGGCTGGTTGGAAGACGCACAACGTAAAATACTGAGAGTGGGGTCATTTGCGATGTCAAACTTTGCTGCTTCGATGTAAACCTCAACGGCCGGTTTAGTCACATCAACTCTGAGGATTTCTCCGAGAGCATCGGAAGCCAGGCCAAGGAGGCCGTAGACTTTATCGGCGTCTCGGGTGACGGAAAAATCACGGCTTGCTTCTAGGAGGCTCATGAAGCTGATGCCTTGACCATTAGCTCGCCACTCTCTAAAGAGCGATATTCTTTGCACCATAGCCAGGCCTGTGAGAACGGCGAAGAAGTCTGAATCGGTATCTCTTGTCAAGTCCACCACTGACGCAGATGCCATGCTCGCCGTAAAGTCAACTAACTCATCCATATTCATAATCCTGTTCCCGCACATGACCACAACGCTCTCAGCGAGGACTGCTTCTTGGAAAACCCACAACCTAGTGAACCAGGATCGAGAGAGGAGGTCGCGAGTTCCATGCCAAATCTCATCAGAGCGTTTTGGTAAACCATGCGACATCAACCTGTCGTCATTTAGGCCCAAACGGCCATCGAAACCACGGAGCCTCGGTATGAGTTCAGGTATCGCTTCAAGTGCCCGATCAACATGGGCGTCACTCTCGCCAAGCCAGACGATAACCTTGATGGCTTTTGTGTAGATGATTCGCATCAATGGAATTTGAGTGTTTTGGTCTATAGGGCTATCTTGATCGATGCAGATGGCGTCGATCCAGATATAGTTGGATTTGTATTCGAGATGAAGGTATGGTAAGAGCTTTTGAACGTTTGAGGTGACCGCTAGCAAAGTGTCATTGCAAAGAATGACCTGATCTCGTGATTGGCCATCCCAGCTGTATGATAAAGCATAGAAATCGGGGATGTTGTCTTTCGAGAAAGTCGACAAACAATAGCGTAATTGGTCTTCATCCCTCAGAACGCGCAGCAGACGGATGGTATTCGAAGCAGAAGGAGAGTAGACAAAGCGGCTGTAGCTCCGCATTGGCGTTACGATCTTTGAAAGCACAAAAAATATCAATAATAATCTTTAGGGTTGAGAACGTCGCAAGGTGGTATACGCTAGAAGCTAGGCAGTAGTATCCACAAGTCTGTACCTGATGAATAAGGGGGGTTGCAACGTAAGGCAATCCAAGTACCATTTCCGACAACCGGAGGCAGAAGGACGTGACCAATGGCCGGTAGGAAGGGCGGGTTTCCGGAGCATCACTCCTTGTCACTGCTTAGGAAATTGGCAAGCGCGGAGAACATCTCTGGAGAATCGAGAGCTCTATCGCGGTATGGTCATGTAAGCGACTTTCGAGGTAGGTTTGAATCGGAGAATGAGCTCGAGTTGTCAGCCATACTTCTGTATCTGGTGGCTTCTAGTGAGCGAGTGTCTCAAGGGCGCTTGGCCAATGCATGTGCTCGGTGAATGGATTGTAATGACCACGTTGAGGAAGCCACCATAGTCCCAGAGGAGGTCAATTTTTTTATATCGAAGCTGTTCGTACGTTCGACGATGTTTGTTGGTGCCTGGGGCCTGGTGTGAGAGAGCACGAGGCAGTGAAGTAAGGCATATTCGGTCCTATCCCGATGAGAAAGATAGACCCTGCCAAGCCGGCAACGGAGACAGACTGCCGGATCAGTGATCCAGGTATGCTTACGCGAGAGTAACAATGCGTTGACGACGACATACACCTGCGCTGTATATATCTTAAGACCGTTTCGTGAATTTGGACCTGACTATCAAAATGACATAGCCCAGTCCACCTTGGTCTAACAGAAACTACTCTGCCCATTCCTAATAATCTCCCTCCAGCTCCAGGCTACTATGTAGAACTGCAGCCACCTTGTTCATCGCGCGATCCCAATTGCTCGAGAACTTCCTGGATAGGCTCGAGATCCAAGGTCACATCGCTCATTTCTCCTATGGCGCTGCCAGCTTGCCCGGCCTCCAATTCCGAAAGGCAGGTATCTCCAAACCCAGAGCCAGGAGAACCAGGAATTGAAGAAATAGAGCCTGGCGTATGGGGTGACGTAGCCCCTGAACCGGCAATGGAGCCGACGCCGGCCTCACTCAAAGCCTCTTCCACCTGCTGTCTGGCTATCCTTTGCATTTGCCGGCGAGCCCAAGAAATGTAGACGTTCTGGACAATAGCCTCGCGACCTTGCGGGACCAATTCCCTTACATTTGAGACTACGTTCTGGGCTCCATCCAGGCGTCCGGCTTGGTCGCAGCGGGTTAGGATTCCACCGATGATGACAACGGATCCAATGACGATAGCTGTTTGAACGACGTTCTCATTTGTGACGTTGCCGTTGAAGACGAGATCGGCGACGGCTGCGACGCCACCGCCGACGGCGGCACCGCTTCCTGCGCTGATAAAGACGGCCGTCCAATAGCTGTGGGTGTTCATAAGGAGATGTCGGAGCTCGTCATGGACTATAGCTTCAGTCTGGCCTGTGCTTGAAGCATTTTGACAGATGAGGCCGCTATTTAAGAGAGGATTTGCTTCTTCTATGGCTAGCTGGGCGACCACCGCTGTGTGATTGGCATATCTTGGATTGGGATTTTGCCTCGAATGTCGCAACATATACAAGTCGGCAACCATGTCGCGAAGGTGGGTGTTGTCGGTCGTTGTGCCATTGGTGAATGTGTAAACGCCTATGTCAGTACCAAGTTTAAGGCCAGTACCGCATTCAGAAAAGTCCACGCTGATGTTGTAGGTAGTCGTCCCCGAGCCCGTATCATCGTCCCAACATGACTGGTGAAGGCCGTATGAATCAGTGTAGGGGCCCGTTGCATCGGCACTAGCATAAGCTCTCTTGTTCTTTGAACCGGCGATAATTGTATTATTGGAGGAGTTCCCCATGTTTATAGAGAAAATCTGGTCCAAGAAACTACTCAGAGACTCTCCCGCAGGCTGTGGTGGAAGCGTTAGAACGGCATCGGGAGACGATAATCCTGAGGCAGCGGCATACGGTGCGTCTAAAATATCGAGAGACGCTGATCCGGTGGCAAGAGCGTTGAAAATTGCGACGAGAGCAAGAAGGCACTTCATGCCGAGGTCACTCTCTTCTCATGGACCAAAGGGAAAATGGATCGATGGAAAATCCAAAGTATATGCGGCGATGGCGGTTTGTCTCAGATGGTCAATTACAGAGGTACCTACCTCTTATTTATGGCGTCTGTGGTTGCGCAGAACACACGCTCAGCGCATATCCCACCCACATATTACTAATAAAAATCTTTGCCGTGATCTCTGGCGTAGCCCCAAGTACTATCATGACACGAGTACGTCCGAAGTTCGAAAATCATAGGAACGGTAGTAGCTATTCGAAGATTAGTATAAGCGGTTTCGTAATGAAGGGACATTTGAAACTTTGGGCAAATATACGATTGGCTGAGAATTTAGACGGCCAACTTGCTCATGGATATACGAGTAAACGCAGAAGCCTGGCTTACTACGGGTCTCTCCCGCGGCTCCATCCCCAATGCGATTCCCCGTACAACCTCGTGCTAAGAGCAAAAGATGTGGGGTGACTTTGACGGCTAGAACATCAATAATCTTGATATGGTTTTTTTGACGCGGCTTTCCGAGAGGTTGAAGAAGCGAATTTCCCGCAGCGCTAGGAGATGCATCGTTAACGCGAATTCGGAATTGATGGTAAAGATTTTTATATTGAAAATCTCAAAAGACTCGATTGAATGAGCTCGAATTTTTGCTTGGTAGTAAATCTCCAGGAGCGGAGTCCGAAACCTTAGGAGATGGGATAAAGCTGAGAGCGGTGGGAACGCCTTTCCTATCTTCGCCTTCCACATTTGTAGCCTGTAATTGTGTTTCAGAACGCTGTTGATGGATCTTTGCGACGAAGCGACGACTTGATCGTATCGATCCAGCGTCAAACCCCATACCTCAGTGGTTGATGTCATGTCTGTGGAACAAGTCGGGCATTGAAGGTACCAAGGGTGATGTTTGAAAAGTTGGGAGTGATGAATAAATGGTAATACCATTCAATTGAGAATGACTGACCCCGGACCGTCTCCCGTAGCAGTCCCAATGAATAAGCACTCAGAAATGGGCGAAATGCTCTCTAGTCCGCTCTGCCGGAACCATCCATCGTTGATTTGGCGTGCAAATCCTTTACTAAGGATGATACCCTGCAGGAAGGGTATGTCACTCGAGGGCAGTTTTTCACATTGAAAAGCTCTCAGCTGAAATTGGAAGACACTGTTCGATCCTTTTCCACACTACCACTTCTTTCCATACCGCGGGTGGCAGCTCTGAATCCGAATCTGAATCTATCAATCATCTCGGATTATTCAGACTACCTTAGGCTGCTTAACTTAGTACGATCTTCAGCGTGTCTAACGGAAGCTAAGGTAGGTACCGCACCAGTCAAAAGGCAGCGCTTGTGGCTGGCATATATTTCACCACCGCCACCACCGCCACCAACTGCTCCATCACGCTACGAGTAGGAAAACAAGGGCCGCGATGCAGGCGAGATCCCATACTGTGCCTAAGGTACTCCAGGAACATGGTGGCATCACGCCTCTGCGCAGCCATTGTGGAAGCCATTATTATCGGCACCGACGACAATGGAAATGCTCATGCCAAGTATATCGGGTAGAATCTGTGCACTACCTAGAGCAGTGGATCCTTCTCCTCACAATCTAGAGCTCACGGCCTCTCCCAACGCCCCTGCGCACGGTGCCTGGCCTAGACTGATTCGGAGAATTAAGGTAAGGTAGGTATATAAATGCGGAGAATTAGCGTGGCTACCGAGCTCTAGTGGTTCCCCACATTGTTCTTAGTGCCATACGTTCCATGATCGGGCAGCGTTCCTCGGCTCGACCTCGACATCGGCTTCGGTTCGAGACTTTTCTCTAGATGCACCGCTTGCTCCTGCTTACTTCTTTTGTCTGGTATCTGAATTGTGCACGGCCTCGTAGGAGGTTATGGCCCCTTTGACAACTAGTCAACCAACTGCGCACGGCCTCGTAGGACTTTTCATGGCCCCTTTGACTATATATTCAATCAACTCCTGCCCGGCATCTTCGCACCTCTGTACCCATCTTCTTCGCCCTCCCATATGAAAGGCTCCATCGAAGCTTTTGATCGTTGAAGGATAGCAACATGGCTTCTCCTCCTCCAGAACTCATCAAATTAGCTGCGCAATATGTCCTCACATGGCCCTCGTGCATTGTGCGTTTACCAGCAAGCACTCAGTGACGATAATTTCCCAGCTAACCTACTGACCTTAAAGCAACCGGATGCAATCAAGGGCATGATTGCCAGCGGGTGTCCTTCTGATCCAAAGTGTTTCTGCGAAGACAAGATATTTCGTCTCGAGCTGCTGGCTGGCATCACAACAAACTGCACAGCAGCTGATATGCTCAGTGAGTGCTTGTTTTTCCTAGCCGTGAACCTTGCCCGGTCCCCAGTATTTTCCCCGTGATCTAAGTGTGAGAGTGATTTCAATTTGCTCATAAATCTTCAACAGCAACACAAAGTCTCGCCAAGAAGCTCTGTCCCGTCCTAGACGAAAGCCGAGAGGCCACAGTCATTGCAGTTATGGTCGTCATTACTCTGCTGGCACTCGTCTTGGTAGCTCTGCGCATTGTCTCCAGGAAGATCGGACATGTCAAGTTTTGGTGGGAGTACGTCTTTCCTGACTCGTTGTCCCCCTTTAGTAGCGAATCCTTAGTCCAAAGACATTTTGAGGAGTATATGGCCCTATCATGCTTCTCAGGGTATCTTTGGGGCGACTGAGCATTTTCTATCGGCAATGCTAACTTCAAACCAATGTGTAGTGATTATCTGATTTTCTTCGTCATGGTTCGTTTCCGAAAAAAAACTCAACGAGCCAATCCGACTAATATCATTGCAGTTGGTCACCCTAGGTGAAACAGCGAACATCTTGAGCGGTGAGTTCCATGTTCCCGAGTTCCTTGAGTACCATTGGAACGGGTATGTGGGACCAGAAGACTCACGCTTGTTCGATGATCAGGAGTAGTTAACGGCATTGGGAAGCATATCGTGACACTTGGTGCTTCGCACATGACGGGGTTTCTCAAGGTCTGCTATCCAGACGCTTCCCCAAGGCTTGTGGAGAGGTTCTGAAGACTGATAATCTCCAGAATTTCTGGATCACGCAAGTCCTCTTCGCTTTCTCAATGACGGGACTGAAGATGTCCATCCTCCTATTTTATCGCCGGCTCTTTACGGGACGCCCGATGGCTTTCACTCTGATTCTCGCCGGATGTTTCAACCTAGCCTGGTTTGTCGCTCAATTTGTCTCCGTCATGGTCTCCTGCCGACCTCTGGCCTACTTCTGGGACAAAGCTATCCCTCACGGTAAATGCATCGACGAGAACCTAGCGAGTTATTTAATCACGGGCGTCAGCCTGCTCATGGACGTCATCATCTTCTTGATACCGATCCCTCCACTTTGGGGCTTGAAAAAATCGTTGGCACAACGCCTAAGTCTTATCGGACTCTTTCTAGCCGGTGCTCTGTAAGTGACGCGCCCGATGCCCTCATTGATGGACCGCAGCGCCCGGAACTAACGCCGCTCTCCTCACAGCGTATGCGTAGCAGGAGCGGTCCGCATCCCTTTCCTTGTGGAGATGGATCTCACCGACATCACGTGGTCCATCGTCCCCGCCGGTCTCTGGATCCAAGTAGAGGTCAAAGTCGGCATAGTCTGCGCCTGCCTTCCTACCTTGCCACCACTGTTCCGCCGCGTGCGTCAATACCTGCTTCTCCTCAGCAGCGGCAGTGGCAACAGCGAACGTTCGCCGTCCTCGGGTGACAAGAACGGCGGAAGTGTCGTCGTCGCGGTTGATGATGCCAGGACTGGCGACGCGAGTCCAAACCGGGAGGGCAGGGGCAGGAAGCAGCAGGGCTGGTATTCGCAAATGCTGAATAGCTTGAGCAACAAGAGTGCAGAGGGACAAACGGAGAGTCGAGAGGAGATTGTTGAGGTTCACGAGAGGAAGTTTTCCGATGACTCCGTTTGAGGGCGGGGCGATCCTATGACGGACGCTTGATGCTCAATTCCCATTCCACCCAGCTGTATCATTTTTACCCAGTGTTGAAGTTGATGACGGCTTGTTGTTTTTCTATGGAGTTTGTGTGCTACTTATAGTTGTTGCCAAGCACAATAGGGTTGAGATGCTGAATTCCAATACCCAGGTGCCAGCTATGTAATTATGAGCAGAGTTGTCCTAGAGCTGATATCGGGGATGACTCCTGTCGTGAGACGGGGACACATTCCTTCTTGCTCGGCGCAAGTTTGAACTCCGTCATCCCGCACTGCGATCACCGTCGAGGTCGAATTCTAGGTCTGATCTTTGGCACCTGAAGACGACAGAACTGTAGCTACCTCCGTCAGGGGTGGCCCGAAGCTGACGAGCAGGCACCCCACCCAGGGAAATCCAGCCACCACCTCTAGCTATATCTACCCGAATCCACCGTATTGACATCATTGCCATTCCAAGGTTGTAGACTTCCACTAGAAATCAAACAAACAAAAGGGCGTCAACACATCAACCGCCCAAACGATCCCGACAAATGTAGTGCCCCGACAAGGTCACAACTCCTCCAGAAAATCCCCTGCATCCTCCATGTATGTACACGTAACGCCGCTTTCCCATGCCCTCATCCGGAAGCCCGGCTCTCAAAAATGAAGCGACCATACCGCAAACAAATCTCCCCATATAGATAGTCCCGGGCTCAACCGACCGCGTCGGATTTGTCTCCGCACCTTTCCATCCAAAGAGCCAAGTCCCACCTTCCACGACGGTAAGTCAGATCGTCGTATCACCAACCGAGGACGGACGGGCGAATTACCGTCACGCGCGGTCATTAGAGTAGGCCAAGAACTGTGCCATCAAAAGTCCACGCCACCATTGCGTCGTCAGCGAAAAAAAAGGGAAAGAGTAAGACTTGCAGCAGCAGAGATACACCACGTAGCACTGTCGAGAGTTTTTCAAAGGAGCTTCCAAACTCCTGTCGGACGATCAGGGTGTGGAGGCCACACGCCCGTGACCAGTTAAGCGATGCCACCGTAGTCCCTATCACGTCGCGTTGCATAAGACGGGTATGCCCAAGACCATCGAAGCGGACGTCCTGATGGGTGAGCCGGAGACTGGTCGGATACGTCGACGACTTCGGTACGGACATGGCTATGAACCAGCAGCGGCGGCGGCGGAGAAGAAGAAGGGGGATCTTTCTGACCGGCAGGTAGGCGTGCCGGGTAGATGACTTCCTCGAAGGGATTCGGGTGTTCAAAAAGACTGCGCCGGTGGATAGAATAAGGCGGCGTGATTCAAGGGGGGTGGGAGGTTCGTAGCAGTGGGGACGGCTCTGACGCTTTCGGGTTCAGGTCCGTCGTCCTTGTTGCTTCGAGAGCCGTGTCGGAACAGGAAAGGTCTTGAGATTTCGCCATCATGCTGAATTGACTTGGAGATGGCTGTTGTCTTGTTAGGTCGAGACGTTTGTTGAGAAGGTTGGCTGGGATGGTCGAGATGTTGGAGATGGAAATCATGGCAGGAGATTGCCGGTCAGAGGAATAGCTGAGATGTTTGAGACGATGAGCTTTCGGTGATGGGAGAAGGATGTCGGATGTCGTAGAGGTCGAAGAGTTAGGGTGATTGTGGATTGATGGGGAGTCACTTTGTCTTCGGAAAAGTACCTTGGAATTTCGAAGCGGGCGTAGCCAGACCGACATAGATTATTACAAACGACTTGAATTTACATTACAAGTGATCCTTTTGTAGAGAGAAGAAGAGTTTAGAACAATTGTAGCATGAAGAGTGCGAGTGTGATTATAAGAGCGAGAATCGAAGAGCCAGAGAGTAAGAGGCGGCGTATCGCTCCTCAACCCAATTTATACTTCCCTATGCATCTATGAAGCATCCAACCGAGACTGGACGAGAGCGCGAATGGGAGTTGGGTTGGGCGAAAAGTGTCCCCACGTCCGGGGGGCTAGAATTCTGTCAGCTTGTCTGGCAGTATCAAGCCTGGAGTCTCTGTAAATCGTAAGACGAAGTCTCTCTCTCTGGCGTCATCTTGGGCTTGGACTCGCAACCGTTGCCGGTCGCTGTTCTCAAGCTGTTGCTGATGACCGAGCGTTATTGGTCGGATGGCTTCTTCCCTAGACCGGGCCGTCTTCAAACATCCAAAGTCCATACTTTGACCGTCCCATCATCTCCAGTGGTGACAATCAACTCTTCTTGCTCGACGTTGCTACCTCCATTCTTGTCTCTTCTTGGGGCCCATGCTACGTGGTTGACTTCGAACACTCCATGAGCACCTTCAATCTGCGCAATGACAACCCACTCCGTAGCATCCGGTGTCTCTTCCATCTCGGCTTGCTTCCCTTGTTGCCCGTCTGCTTCGGATGTCGATCCAGTGTCGTTTGTGACCTCTTCCATTGGCTCTGCCCCATCCAATTTGGACTCTCCGATTACTTCTGCCCCTCCCATTCCGCCCTCATGAGCCTCTGTAACCTTAGACTCTGCGTTCCCGCCGGCCTTCTTCCACCTCTCTTCGTAGATAACAACAGCCCCGTCTCCTCCGGTGCTCACCACCCTCCCACTCTTACTCCAGGCGATCGCGTAGATCGGCCTACTATGCGCTTTCGGCAGTTGCCCCTCCTCAACCCAATCCTCCTCCGAGGTGCCGCTCCGTATGATACTCAGCCTGGACTGCTGCACCTTCTCCTTCGGTCGTCTCCTCCACACGCGTATTGACAGATCATCCGAACAACTCATCAACCTCGGCCCTGACGCTTCCCGCCTCTTCACCCACCTCTCTTTTGTATCCTTCTGCCCGTCCTCAACATCCCCAAAGACCCGAGGCACCACCCCCTCCCACCCCACACACCAAACCGTACTCCCATGGCCCCTCAACACCCCACAGCAGCCCCAATCATCCACATCCTCCCTCCACAACCGAACATCATCATCGTAACTCGCACTCGCCAACAGCTCCTCCTCCGGATGCCACGCCACACACTTGACATCGCCCTCATGTTCCTGCATCACGGCGATAGTTTCGTAGTCATCGTCCCCAACTTCCTCCCAGATCCAGACGCTCTTATCTCTCGAGCACGTAGCCAGTAAATTACCCCCGGAAGACCACGCGACAGATTTGACTTCGGATTCGTGCCCGTCGAGGACGATGGCGAAACGCCACTCATCATCATCTTCTTCATCCTCTTCTGCATGCTCGTCACCCATCTGTCCACTGGCGATGGCCTTATCCCGAGCATCGAAGTCCAGGCCCGACAGAACATCCTTGGGCTGGGGGTTCATGTCATTATCGTAACGTCTCCATATCCCCACTGAGGCGTCGAAGCTGCCCGTAGCCAGCACCGACTCGCCTTTGAGATTCGGCTTCCAAGCACATGTTCGTATGCTTCGTTTGTGGCCGCCCGTTATGGTTGAGAGGAGTGTGAAGGAGGTGAGAGAGTAGATGCGGACGGTCTTATCCGAGGAGCAGGTGGCAAGGAGGGGGAGGGTGGGGTGTGGGGCGGTGAGCCAGGCGCGGGAGGGGGAGGAGGGTTCGAGAGTTGCGAGGCGGGATATTTGAGGGAGGGAGGAGGCGGAGGGCATTGTAAGAGTGTATCAAAACTTTGATTGCTCGCTGGGGAAACGGAGGGAAAGATACATCAGCACGTTTTCCGGACCACTGACATGTCGTCACCGTGAACGGCAGTACATGGAAATTTCAAAGTAGGAGCCAATTTTTTGCTTTCTATTTGTACACTGGTATCACTATACGCCGTCTAACAACCCAACTTTCGGGCCTTGCAGACGTAATCTCACCGTGAGCGCAGCTATGCAACCCCTGTTCTACAAAGACATCATAGCACATTCAGCAATCCCGCAATCTATAGCACAAGAGCGCCGAGCAATGCTGCAAACACTGGCAAATTAAAATCCTGTCGTGCGTTGCTTTCTTCGCTCGTCCGTTGTCAACGCTGCCAGCTCGTCGGCAAAAGATTCTCCCTCGATATCCCCCACGCCAGCTTCAGCATAGCATCCGAGGCTGCTCATCTCCACATCCCGGGTGTGGCTGTTTCTTGTGACTTCTCTGACGTCGATATCGATCTCGTTTGCTACGTGAATTTCACCAAAGGCACGCGCACTCGCCTTTGGACTCCCGTTCACGAGGTTCTTCTCTGAGGAGTTGTCGTCATTTACCTTGTTGCCATTCGCGCGAATTCGAGACGTCCATTTCTTGTTTCTATTAGGCGATGGTGTCCTGCTTCGCTTGTTTCCACAGGGTGGATCCAAGGAGGGATGGTAAGAGGCGCGTGGGCATCTTAATGAATTGTTATCACAGTCTTCGCGGCTTGCAATTGCGGCAAATTCCCTGTGCATCCTGCGGGCAAACACTGCGTTATCCGCGCTATCCCGGTGTGCATGCTGCTGGGAGAGGAAGAACCTCAGCGAAGCGAACTCGTATCGGTTGTTCAGTGAGCTGGATTGATACGCATCTGTAATGACCCTAAAGGCGACCACGAATGCTTCTTGCGATGACGAATTGCCTTTTGAGACATCACAAGGTGCTCGGAGAGGTGTTGCCACAAGTCGCGCCTCCTCGAAGAAAGCGCTGTCTACCCTGCTGGCGAGGACCGTAAGACTTTCCAACAGCTCTCTGGAAAATTGTTGCTGCTTTGGGTCTGCGAATAATGATCCTCTCCGAAGTCTCTCACAACACGTTGCAACCGTCCAGTTATCCATTCGTTGGAGTACGTCAATTTGCCATTGCTCGAGCTTCGACTTTGTCAAGTTGGAGGTGGGCATCAGATTACCGGCATCTTTGCGAACAAGGACGTCGAAACCCCTATGGAAGACCGGGCGCAGTGCGAAGCAGCCCAGATGTACACCCGGCTCCAGAAGCCGCTCAGCTTCCGACTGATCTCGCATGCGTTTAAGCTGAGGAAGCAGTTCCGCTTTCGTAACTTCCATACTTCGAGCAAGAACTTCGATGACGTTTGAGATAGTAGCAAACCGATAACCAGTGGATTGTAGATGCGATGCCTGGGAGCGACTTGCTCTACGAACAAGGAAAAGCAATTGTCCACGTCCAAAGATCATGGGCATTCGGCCTTTCTCGGCGCCGTCAAGCTGATTATGCCGCGTTGGTAGTCCTTGCCAGAGCTTCAATCTCGCGGATTTGCTGAGTGTACCGGTGTTCATGATAGTCCCATCCAAGACTCCGACATCTTCTAGCGGCAGCTGAACAATGTCAGCAAGGTCTTTTGCAGCAACGCAGAACAACTGTTTGAAAAGCGTAGAGTAATCTCCTGTGCTGTCATCCACGCTTCCTGCCCTACGGCGGTACCGCGAATGCTTGAAAGGCTTCCCGTCGCGCAGACGTGAGCGCATGCCTGGAAGAAGATCCGATACTCCATACCAGCAACGTGACGCCCGATAGATCCAGCAAAAGACTGGATGATCCATATCGAAAACTTCCTCGAAAGACTTCGGGTACTGTTAGCTGGGTTCTTCCACAAACTTGCTTACTACCTACCCGTTCGTGGTATGAACCGGTGATCTTGCAACAGGGCAATAAGCCTTCTGGTGTGACCATGAGTCGCTCTTCAGGGTCAAATGTCGCGCATGCCAACACGACTTGCTGCGCTCTGTCCGCTGACCGCTGTCTTGATCGTTGACCGATCAGAGAGAATATGACGAGCATAAGGCAACAGCCGATAGACTGAGGACTATTAAAAAAATCAACGGACCATGAGACAGGTGTGGACTGCTCGCACCAAACAGATCACCACTACAACTGTGGCTTCCCTCGAGAGCCCGCTCGTGTTCTGCATCATGTCTGCCCTCATTCGGTATGCTGTGCCCACAGTGGCTACCCAGTGCATCCCAGACACCGACACTGCTAGTAGGGACGCACAAGACATGCGCTTCCACCAACTGTTCGTCCAAGTTGATTTCAAGTAGAAGAAGACCCCGAGAGCAATAGTATCTGCAGCCACAGCAATAATGGCGGACCCAAAGACATGTCTCCATGAGTAGGACGGGGTGTAATTGGCGATACCTTTCTGACCCATGTAATGCATTCCACACACAGCCGAACCGACCAGAAGTCCTCCCACCATGGTTCCCAGTATGCTCACTTTCTCAGAGACGCTGAAGAAGTAGAAAGCTATACCGACGACGCAGACTGGTAGGAAGAAGGAACCAGCAGTGAAGCCCGGGCTGTATTGGATCTGATTATCTGGTTTACCATTGGCCATCACAATTGCTCGATTGCCAATGAAGTGCATGGACCAGATAGCTACTGCCCCCATCGTACAGGCGGCTGCAAGCAAGAGGTACCTAGAACGAAGTTGGAGTCAGCCACAGAAGAGGCAAAGGATGCCCAATGACCAAAATGGAGCGATGTAGACGTACCAGTTGTAATATCCCCGTGCTCCGGTTCTCCTTTGGAGAAGCTCTAATGAGGTCCAGCATCCTGCAAGACTGACAAGGTACGATAGAACAATGAAGCCAGCATCATATGAATGCGAGATCAAGTCCCCATCGTATGTACCGAGGATTGAAGACATGAGAAGAGTAGCTGCCGGGTCCAATGAGCAACGACTGCTTTGGATTGATGCGGTACTGCATTCACCTCATTGAACATTACTTTAGATGATTGAAACGGTATTAGGGTTGGCTTGCAAGGAAGCAATCTCGGCAAGATTGAGAGACGTCCAACCGGGCCTGGCACTCAAAAAAAGGATTTATTAATACAATACGATTCAGGTAGTATAGAAAGGAGTGAAGGGTGGAGTGGCTATCACACGAAACAGAGAGGATAGTGAATGTCAGGATGGATCAGGAAAGTGTGAGTGCTAAGCGCTGGCTGGCGCGCAACGCTCCGGTCACCTAACATATATAATTTTTCTTCGAGATTACTTTAGGTATCAGGTTATAGTGGGACAACGTTCAGATGTTCAGTTTTGCACGAGGTAAATATAAGTCTTATTGTGACTTACGGCAATCGAGTTTGCTGCTACCCACCACCCAGCCATTTAGTGCTCCTCTGATAACCGCTGAAGACAAAGAAATGAGACAGTAATTGCGGATAACCACTGTCAACTTGGCCAAGTACTGTACGAGTATTCATGGCTGGTCTCGGCAGTTCATCCGACACCAGGTTTGCATCTTTCCGCGCTCCCTACAAATCGATGTCTAGCTTGTTTTTTTGCTGGGTCGAGACGGGTCTGGAGTTTAGATGCCGAGGAGCACCGAATCTTGTGCATAGATCGTGCATGACATGATCTGATACTTCCCCCAATCCAGACCTTTCTAGCCGATACCAAGCTTCTTGAAGCAAACCACAAACATATTTACTTACCATTCTTTACCACTTTTCCTGGCTGCCAACTGAAACTGTATTGCCGTAGTGTCAAAGTGAGATGATGTAGAGATTACAGAATACAGGTTGCCTTGTCGAACAGGTCGTCAATCTGCAAGCTCCAGATCGAACAATGGGTACGGAGGTGCTCGTAGCGACTGCTTGTGTCGAGCAATGATTTTGAGCTAAGTAGAATTTCGGTGGATTCACTGGAAGCGCAGGAAAGAAGGACAGAAAAGACAGAAAGACAGAAGGTCAGGAGGTCAGAAGGTTGTTAACTTGTTGACGTTGTTGTTGTTGCAATCGAGCTGCTTTGCCTCGTCAGAAGCCGCACTGACCGGAGGGCCCAAGGGAGATCAGCAGCAAGGTTTTCCATTGGTCGCTGGTGGCGCGCAAACGCGATCCCCCGAGCGCCTTTATTCTGCTTGCATTTCCAACTCCAACCACCAACGCTTGCATTGCAGCTGTGACGATGCCTTCAAAGCACATATTCGATGAGGCCTTCGCCCAGAGGCCCGATCTCCGCCAAAGGGTCCTTGGCGCCATTGGTAAGATCACTAGTTCAATTGGCCCACCATGCTGACTATTGTTTAAACAGCCAAAGCCCCTGAGCAGGAGAGCCTCTTCGGAGACATTGCCCACTACATTAAGCATGTACAGCATGCTTCCGTCCAGGAACAGTTCAAGGGCCAGGATGAGCAACCGTTCAAGAAGAGAAAATTGGAACACCGGCCAATTGACACTGGGGGATGGGACAAGAAAAATGTTTGTGAGGTTACCGACGTGTCTTTCTCAATCCCTCAGCGGAAGAAGCTGCATCTGAGTATCAACAAATCAGCCTCCTCGGGATTGCATGCAATCAATGCATCCGGGACTTCGGAATTCGGTGTCACTTGGGAGTGGGTTCGGGACATCGTTTGTCTACCAGTCCCTGAAAAGGCCCAAGCACAATACAACTTTTGCATCTTCTCAACCACTGCGGATGGACTTGCCCCTGATCAAATCGTCTGGACGGTTCCGGATAGTGTGCCTAAGGACGGTACCTTTGTAGGTTTGACAACTTCTCCGGGCGAGACATGCCGCACGCTTCTGATCACCGTTCTCAACGAAGCTCTGAAACCCTACAAGAAGCGGGTCATAGAGCCGGACAAGCAAGAATTTGCCAGTCAGGTGGTACAAGCACACCGAAGGGGGGAACCAGCATACCACATCAAGGCGTTTCGAGGTTCCAAAGATGGCTTTCTATTTCTCCTGGCCAACGGCATATTCTGGGGCTTCAAGAAGCCTTTAGAGTTCTTCTCATTCGATAGCGTTGACTCTGTGTCTTACACCTCGGTTTTACAGCGCACCTTCAACCTCAATATTGCTGCTCGCGCCGCCACGGATGCCGAGCCCCAAGAATTCGAATTCTCCATGATTGACCAGGCCGACTTCGCTGGTATAGACGACTACGTGAAGCGTCACGAGCTGCAGGATGCAAGCATGGCTGAGCAGCGGCGGGCCAAGAAGTTGAACGTCAACGGGCTCAAGGGGAATGAGACAAAGCAGGAGGGTGTCGATCAAGAAGAAGGGGAGCTCGAGAAAGCAACGAGAGAGGCGGAAGACCTTGAAGATGAAGAGGAGGATGATGAAAACTTTGATCCCGGTAGCGAGGGTGAGAGCGAGGGCAGTGGATCCGGTAGTGATGAGGATGAAGATGAGCATGAGGGCAGAGCGGGAAGCAACCTGGTTGACGAGGAGCTGGCAAGTGAGGCTGAGAGTGCTTAGGGGTAGTCTCTCGAGATTTGAAGGCCTTAGTTTGGAAACTTTGGCTATAGACTTGAACAGGGAACCAGCTACTGTAACGTAGGTCTAAAAACATCTATACTAAATAGAGATTTAGGTGAGCAGCGCCCCTACAAGGCTACAAACCGCTGACATTTCGTATAGAATATGCAAATAACCTTAGTCCAGGCTTTCGATGCCTGACAGCTGATACGATGGTGGCATATGGCCAGCTTCTCGCAGGGACAAAGGATAGGTCCAAGTATGAAGTCAGCACATCCATTTTCTCCAGAATGTGGACTCCAGAAATCCCCCTTCTTTCCAATTTTCCTAGCCTCGCCTATGCAGAGCTCATTCTCACTCTCGCCCTACTTTCCTATCGGTACGACTCGGATTTGAACGACTACAGTGGAGTGATCGAGTTGGCAAGACTGCTGTGTACGAAGGATGAGAGGACATTTGCAGGTTCTTATCAAGAACGCTTGGAAATGCCCATCATCGAGCGGAGGAGCGGTTTGTGTGGCATTGTCTATGGAAATAGACAGATCAAACAATTGCCATACACCCGGTCCCTCTACTCGTAGACCCTCTCGGTTATGATCGAAAGAGTAGGTTTCACCGGGTAATGATCGTCTATGCGTGACGTTCATGATCTTGATGAGATTTCATCATGCTCCTGATCAGGTGACGAGGCCCAGGAATAGGGGCAAATCGCTATCATGTACAGGGACTAAGGTAAGGCCCCAAAGATGGCTCACTGGTCAAGAAGTTAGGGATCTCAAAGCTACTTCTTTATATTTCACTAAGGACGCCAATTGGGGTCCCTGTTGGTGGTTGAAAGGAGTCCACGAGAAATGCTTGAGCCCCTGTTGTCATTACCCGGATCGGAGTATCGATCCTTTTCTTACGTATGACTTGATTCATTCCACTATAGGCATCTATCTTTCAAGCTAGGTAGCACTCTTCTTGAGTGCTGAGTGATGATTCTTCGTCCTAAGCATTCAGAATCCTTGGCACTCTCTGCTTCATGCCTTTGGGCACTTGCAATCGTACGACTTATCCCCAAACGCTCATTTGCTAAGCACGTACAATCCTATAAATCTATATACCCGTTTCCCGTCTCCGTTTCCCGTTTCCCGTTTATTATCTGGTGTTTCCACAATTCATAGCTGCCAAGCATCAACTCTTACAAGGGAATCCGGCGGTCCATCCACCAATTTGCCAAGTATGATTACAGAAACTTGCTCACTGCTGCCTCGTACCAAACTTTCGATTTTCTAGCTTGCCAGTGCTTGGCAATGGGTATTTAAAGAGGGTTTCCCCCCAAATTTTTCTGTTTTCTTTTTTCCTTTCTTCTTCACTCCGCCTCTGGAACACATCACACATATCATCACATCACACACACAATGTCTACATTCTCATCTCTATCTTCGTCAATCATCGCCCGTCAGATAGCTCGTGTATCTCGACCGCGACCGTGGATCGTACCTGCTCTCGTCGTCAAGCCTGCTCCAGTGGCTTGCTCCACGACGGTACCTTCCTCCACTCTGTCAAGTCTCCCGAAATCTGCGATCGCCCGCGTCACAGCTCGTGTGTGTCGCTCTCAAAACATATCAACGGTTTCGTCCTTCTCCTCCTCGAAACGCTCGATCGTCGGCGGCCGTCAGACTCCTGTTCCTGAGTCTGGCCTTCGCCAAACGACCCTCGCAGCTCGCGCCACTGCCCGCGCATCTCGCGACCGCCCCTGGCTCAATCAACGCTCCGAATCCATCGCCGCCAAAGTCAGCAAGTCAAAGTCCAAGACTGCCCAATGGATCAAGTCACAAGCGGTCGACCTTCGCCAAGCTCTTCGTCGCCCTTTCCAAGCCTCGCGACAACCCTCTTCAATCCCCATCCGACACTCTCCGACGTCGGATACCTCCATGTCCATTCCTGCTCCTCCGATCGTCCTGCCAAAGCGACGCACTGCCGCGACCGGTCCCCGTCAAGCCGTTCGATACCCTTCGACATCGAACAACCGTCCAGCACCTTCGTCATCGTCGTCTTCCCGTCCTCAGCGAGTGGTCACCCCGGCATCCCCCGACAAGTCCATTGCCGCCATCGTCCGTGAAGCCTTCGCCTTCGACATCAACGAGTTCCGCGCCGAAGTGGAACCGATATACGAGAGAATCAAAGCCCACCGCCAATGGTTTCGACGCCTCAATCGGAAGCCGGTTACCTTCGACGACAACCCTACGGTGATCGAAAACCCCAGATGGATCGACAAGAAGGATCACGTTCACCCTCGTCCGTCACGCATAATGGGCCAACTCCTTGCGTGGCGACCCTTGAGTGATGAGAATCCTTACGAGTATACGACGGTCTGGGGTAGCGACTCATCGAACTTCGACCACTCCGACTGCCTAAATCCCGGATGTCGCCGCAGGACGAAGGATCTCTACATGGATAACTACGAAGAATGGTAAGAGGACCTTTCTACTCTCGAGCCCTGTCACGCAACTCCATTAGCTACCTCGTATGAGTAATGCTGACTCCGCAATCTGTGCAGGACGGCGCCGACCTTTACGACCATTTCCGAGTGATCTGGCGACTTCGACCCTTGACAAGCAACCTTCGAAGCCGACTGGTCAGCTCCGCAGCTCTAGGATCCAGGTCAACGACGGATACTGACTACCTCTCCCCACTATCTAACTATTTATGTGCATGCTGCTTTTCACACCAGCAATATTGCAACAGAAGAAAAAGAGACTTATTGGTCGTCAAAAAATCAGAAAAACGTTTCTTTTCAAGGAACACAAAACCCTTAAAAAAAAGCAGTGAAGTCAACGTGGTCGTGTCTCCATCATCTTACCATTACCATATAATTACTCGAGCGCTTTGTCTTCTGATCACTTACAACTCCACAGCTTCTGTCCGGAAGGGCCCATTGCCCGGTAAGTCCTCACCCTCACCCACATCTCGAAAAGCACTAGCTGACCTCTTCTCTTCATCCATCACCTAGCTTTTATCTTGAGTTGTCGCCTCATTCGTTGTCAGGTACGTTGTGCTCTCTGATCCTCCTCCTGTGCCAACTTCAACGCAAGTGGTCTTGTGCAAATCTTGGTACATATGGCTCCAATTCACCGGCCTTACACTACTGCTGGTTGACACGGAGTTTGCATGGGCCTCAAGCTCCCTGACATTCTCTTGATCCACTTCTTATTGCCGCATGCAACGGCGCCACATTTTTTGGAAACCACTTCTCTCGTCGCCGGCCTTACACTACCGCTGGTGACGCGGAGACTTCCCATTATTACTACTTCTATCTTTGTTGATCCTCATCTGCGCTTGGGAATACGCAAACCCCACTTTTTTGGAACACTCCCTCTCGCCGCCGGCCTTACACTACAGCTGGTTGGTACCGAGGCTTTCACTGTGCTTAGCACTTCTACCTTTATGCATCATGATCATCATCTTGCTGACCGTGAAAGCGGCAAACCCAACTTTTTTGAACACTCCCTCTCGCCGCCGGCCTTACACTACAGCTGGTTGGCACTGAGGCTTCCCACCATTACTTCTTGTATCTTTATTGATCCTCATCTGCGCTTGGGAAGACGCAAACACTACTTTTTTGAACCATCATCTCTCCGTCACCGGTCTTACACTACCGCCGGTCGACACCGAGAGTTCCACAAACAGTGCCTGGCACTTGTACCTTCATGCCTCATGCTTCATGATCGTCATCTCGTCTACCGTGGAACAGACGAAAAAACAAATTTTTGGAAAACCCTTTGCAAAAGATCGCTATAGGCAATGCCTCTGATCTGCGCATCTTGCGTCGCCGGCCTTACACTGCCGCCGGTTGATGCATACTACTACCACTATTTTTTCTCCTGCACGAGCTCGGCCTTGTCGTGGCGCAGGGGCTTAAATCCTCCCTTGAGGGGTAACGAGCAAGCTCACCCACTCCTCCTATCTCCTTTCTTCTAGACCCCCACCGTCCTACCTTGTACTGTATCCTTGCATGTTTGTTCACCCTGGGGCCTTGGATTGGAACGTTGCCGACGCGGGCTTGGTGGCTGATGGGTCATCCGGTCTGCAGAAAAGGGCGGTGTGCGGTGGAAGGGATGGACTTGGAGTCTGCCAGTTATGCATGTACTGTACACGTTCACGTTTAGATAAGACGAAAGAAAAATCCCAATATCAACTTCCAATCATGGCTTCAAAGCTTTCTTGACCGAGTGGATTCGGCTCCTTCAGAAACGCGTGCACAACTAACCAACCGCAAGTCGTCTTGTCGGTTTCACAGTCTGGCATCCCTATTCGTCATCATCTGGCATCGATGCGTGTAGAAGTTTGGCGAATTGCCAGGTTTGAGGAGCGAGTGAGTGAGTTGAGTGAGTGAGTAGACTGCTTTGAGCCTTCGAATTGGCGAACTTCTTTGGTTGGAGACAGGAGGGGAGGGGAGGGGAAGGGAAGATGGGGTAGAACATGCGGTCATTATGGACCGCGTCTGAGGATGAATGAATGAAGTGTACGGGCAGGCAGAATGCCAGCTTTTGAATGGATGGATGGATGGAAACAAGATGTTGGGTACGAACGGTTGATTGTTTGGACACGACATGATAACATAACAGTGTAGATGGACGGGGTTTCCTATTGCGGGCTGGATATCTGCGTCTGAGAAAACAGAATGAAGATTGAGGTTTGTATCCGCTCGAGAGACACCCGAGATCCTACTCGAGTCGCAAAGACAGCAAGCAGGGGTAACTTCAGCCCCGTCTGGGCATATATGAGGTAGAGATTCGCCCCGTGAAACGTAGAACGCTCCCGCCAAGGTCGGCTCTCGTAATTTCGTCGTCGATAATGTGACCTTGCGCCGTAGCCGTAGGACCGTCATCCAAGGGACGAGACCCTTCGATCGACCCAGACGCTCAAGCCAATCCCAACAAGGTAGCATTTCCGCTGTCTAGATACCCCTGCGCCGTAGCCATATCCTTCTCCGCCTCGCCCAACACATCGTCGATGTCTGCGGCCGGCTCCCCGTTCCGCACCACCCCGGCCATGAAGCCATTCTCCGTGCCTCCGACCTCGGCCTTGGGCGCAGCCAACGCTTCTACGCGCCGGTGGAGCCGAACGATGGTGCTGGCTCGAGGGGCGTCCGTCCGGGCCAGCTCGTCGACGGACTGGGACTCTGTTTGGAGAACATCGCGGAGGGTGAGTTGACGCTTGGAGGTGGTGGGCTGGAGGGTGGAGTGGGAGGTTGTGAGGATCATGATGGTGATTATGTCGAGGACTACGTCTGAATTTGCTTGCTCGGTAGCTTCGTCGATAAGGAGGCGCAGGACGGATTGAGCGCCTAGTATGCGCAGGGTGTCTGAGAGTTGACGATGGGTATAGGAGGGAGGTGAACCTTCTGTTGAGGTCGCGCTCCATGGGATTAGAGACCGTATCGTCTGCCGTAGAGCCGCTAACAGACCTCCGTTTTGGGTGGTTGACCAGGAGGCCAGTTCGTTGAGGGCGGTTGTTCCTTGGCGCTCCTGCGAGTGTTCATTGAGGACTTGAAGGAGAGGAGTGATGTCTGGGCGTGAGGCGTACTGTCGTTGCACATGGCTGAGGGAATCGGACAGGGGTTTCGCAACGACGGAGAGAACGGCGTTGTGGATTGTTGAGGAGTCGTGAGACATTGAGGGAGGCTTCAGAAGGGTTTGGAGCGCGGGCAGAACAGTGTCGATGTGCTTAGAGTCATCGTTAGTCTCCCATAAGCAGTTGGTAAACCATGTGAAACCGGCGATGAGAGAAGGGAGCAAGAACGGTTCAAGCAAATACTCGAATCCGCCTCGCAGCGTTTCGAGGGCAAGGACGTTCGCTTGACAAGCCTTCATGCTTTGCTCGAAAAGCGTAGTGACTAGTAAATGAAATTCTTGGGGCTTGCACATTGACATCAGCTCGTCGCTGATGCCTTCGGTCTCGAAGAGACCCCTGATCCAACCACCCAGAAGCTGATTTTCATGTTCTGACAGGTCGTCAATGGACCTGCTGACGGAACCGTGTTTGATGTACTTGAGGACAAAAGAATCCGAGCCTTCGACACCAAGCTCGTCAGGTTGCATGCCGAAACGGTGCTGAACGAGGACAACAAAGAGGAGGATGCTGCCAAACTCGTCGTATACAGGCTGGTACTCGCCTTGGTCTTCGTGGTCTTGCCATTTGTCCAGCGTGCTACAGAGTGGTTGTAGTAGATGGTTAGAACTTGTAAATAGCATGATGACATCCAGAGCCGTCGGTCTGCGGCATAAAGCATTGCAGACAGCCTTCAAGGTCATCGTATCATTGTTGGCGCAAAGAGCGTGCAAAATCTCGATGAGCGCGCTAGCAATCTCTCCTGCATTTCCTTCCATGTTTTCCAGCTCGCCAATGTACTCATCTATTTTGGCTGAATTCGTAGTACATTGACTCACAAGGTCCTCCTTGGAATACCTGCCTGAGGCTGGCAGGCTTTGCATCGGGACATCCCCCAAGATCTCTTCAATGATCCGCTCAGGAATCAACTGATGCAATGCACATGCAAATAAGAACTCTTGACGTGCTTCAGAAAGAAGGCTGTTTCTCTCCAATGGATCGAACATCTGAGCAAACGAGGGAAATGCGGCAGGATCCACGCGTACGAGAGCCTGCCGTATGCAATGTTCAACTGTCATAGGCTCAAAGATCAAAGGAGCATAACTTCGCTGGAGGAAAACTGGTAATTTGTTTACGAGGAAAGACCTCAAAATATTGATGGATCGTGTAGACTCGTTGCGGTACATGGCATTTGCTAATACATCGAAAGAAGCCAAAATCAAATCCGTAGCAAGGCTGGAAACGTCGCCTTTGTATCGAACGTTGAGGAAATCTATGACTGTATTGTCGTCAAAGGATGGTCTGTCATGAAGCATGGCATTGAGGCAGATGTATAGGCCTGCTCGGGTTGGAATGGGAGGGTTGTCTAGGACGTTGTTTTGAAAGGACAGTAGTCCCACATCGTCCAGGATGCCGAGGGACTGATGCCAGTCTTGCATCGCTATTTGAGGATCCATGTTGCGACAGTGTCATTATCAAGGGGAAATCTTTTCTAGGGAAATGGCACTTTGAGGAGGTTGAAAACCACCGTCTCAGCCCTAAGATGGGACCGTGGAGGTTCTGCACTTCTCGTCTTTTACAGTGTTTCAAGACGTGTATGCTGTCGATATGACATGTTGAAATGTAAATACCTAAGATACATAGGTCGTCTATCCTTTGTTCTACCCTTCATGATGTGCGAAAATGGACATTTACTATTAAGAGGTAATGTCCATCGTGCAAGTTCATATACCTGCGGACTCGATATAAAAGTACTTTGAGGGGAACACCCCAAATCCTCATCCACGGTCTTGGAGAGCGTCCCGCATCGACTGCCTACTACTTTGGGTCATAACCGCGTCCATGACCACCAATGCAGCCATTGCCTCAACTATTGCTACCGCACGAGGCACTACACAGGGATCGTGCCGGCCCTTTGCCTCCAAAACGCCCTCTTTGCCTTCAAAATCGACAGTATTCTGTGCCTGTCCAATGGTTGCTGGCGGTTTAAAGCCCACTCGGAAGTAGATATGGGCTCCATTTGATATACCACCTTGCACTCCTCCGGAGTTATTGGTCTTTGTTTTGAGGCGATTCGAACGGGGTTTAGCCCCATTTGTGATGGGTTCTGGCGGTGCATTGGGCGAAGCATCCACACCAGATTGGCTTGGAGCGACTGGGACTGAGGAAACGAAGGCGTCATTGTTGAGAGAGCCTGGAACTGCGCAGCCTCCGAACCCAGAACCGATCTCGAAGCCTTTCGTTGCGGGTATACTGAGCATTCCCTGCGCAAGGCAGGCTTCTATCTTATCGAAACATGGCTCGCCGATGCCAACAGGGCAATTGCGTATTACGCAGGTGACGGTGCCTCCTATTGAGTCCTTCTTGTCTCTGAATTCTGCGATCTTGTCGGACATGCGGATGGCGGCTTCTTTATTGGGGCACCGGACGGGGAGATAATCCGGGTGATCGACTTCTTCGCGGGTTATTGTGTCAAGGAGCTTGAGGAATATAGGATTTGTAGATGGTGTTGGATGTGTAGACGTGGGTGGAAAAAGCTCTTCGTTGCCGACTGATGAGACAAAAGCAACAATTTCGACGCCATGGACGAGAGACAGGTATTTTTCGGCGATGGCACCGGAAGCCACACGAGCTATAGTCTCGCGGGCAGAGCTTCGACCTCCTCCACTGCTGGCTCGTACCCCGTATTTCTCTTGGTAAGTGTAGTCTACTCATACGCGTCAGTAAGCTCACCGAAATCTTTAGATCTTTACGTTAACCAACCTGCGTGGCTCGGGCGAGGGAATCCAGCCATAGTATCGCCCTTGTAATCGTGCGGTCTTTGGTCCTCATTCTTCACCATGAGCCCAATCGGTGTTCCCAGCGTGATGCCAGACTCCGTTCCTGACTGTATCTGGACTCGATCTTTTTCGTCTCTTGGCGTTGTAAGAGCTGACTGGCCAGGCCTTCTTCTAGTGAGTTGTGGTTGTATATCCGCTTCCGTAAGTTTCATCCCTGGTGGGCAGCCGTCGATGATGCATCCTACCGAGGGGCAATGGCTCTCACCGTAGCTAGAAACACAGGATGTCAGCCACTGTAGTTCGGATTGTCGCGGTGGAGTCACTTACGTTGTAACTCTGAACGCACGGCCGAATGTCGACATGATGGCAAATGTCGTAGAGGTAGACTAGATCTAGGGGCAGGATACGATTGATACAGCCAAAGCTCAAGTACAGAGTAGAAAGAAGCATTTATCAAGATTGTCCGAGATCAAGCGGAATCATGCCGCGCTCAAGCTACTTACTCGTATCTACCCGGATATGTGTTGCATATTATCGGTGGAGATATCTCATCCTTCGACATCATGGTATGACTATCCATGGAGGAAATAATTATTCGGGTAGACTTTAATTCTTTCGGACTATATTTGTGACCGAGGTGAGGCCTTCCGGACTACATTTGAAACCGAGGTAAGGCCTTTTATTGAAGGTCTTTGGAATGGTTCAACCTCGCTATTATCATCGTTTCATTATTCAAACATTTATACGTATCTTCTCTATACATTCTCTATTAATGTAGAATATATACTTATGAAAATAAAAAGGATAAGCGGTAGCGATATAACTCTATAGGGCGATATATCATAGTAAGGGGGAATAATAACGTTCATCGGCAATTCGGGAGGTCGGCCCGCCAGATTCGAATTCCGGGTGCGCCCAGGGCGCATAGGGCTAGCCCCGAGCGGGCTCCGAACTTCCGCAACTTCAAAAATCGGGTGCTGTTCCGGGTACTGTCTCGACACTCGGGTACTGCATTAGGCTAAAAAACAATGTTGTTCCAGTGTACGGCCTCCCGAGTGTGCTCGCTAGAGGTACTACTTAAGTTTATCAGGGTGTGGATTGCGATAAAGAAAGGCAGAGGCCTTAGTAGGGGCGTTGGTAGGGTTTCATGCCAGTGCCCTAATTTTGGTGCGCCAGGGCCCTGGAACGAATTTTTCGGGGCCGGCGACCCCGAAATTTAGTCTAAAGTGTACCTAAGGTATTCTGAAAGGATTTGAGGTTGGGTGGCTGCTCCCCTAGCAACTGGACCCTGCAGAATGCTCCCGCTAGCTGGTACATGCGCAGTTCGGCCCTGGAAGCCCGGGGCCCCCTAAAGGCACTCCCTGAATTGCCGATGTATATGTCTTATACGATTTCATAGCTTTACTATTAATCGTATGGGAACACGCTACACTTTATATGGGCCACCCCAACGCGAAGGCCATCTCAATACGAATCGATTTTACATCTAAAATATAGAACTTTTAATATATATATAATTATTATTATATAAACTAATAATCTATCTATTTAAAAGATATATAGAATATATATATATAAATAATAATTTTTAATTAAAATTAAAATATTTTAATATATATAGATTATATTAAAATAAGTATTATTTATATAAAAAATCCTCTATTAAAAAAAATAAAAATTATATTTAAATAAATTTTTTTATTTGAAATTAAGATTATTAATAGTATACGTTATATTTATTAATAATTCGAAATTTCTATATAATTTAGATATATTATACTATTTATATAAAAGTTAAAAGTTTTAAAATTTAGACGTAAAAATCGATTCGTGTTAGGGTGGCCTTAGCGTTGAGGTGGCCCATACAAAGTGTAGCGTGTTTCCATACGATTACGACTCTAATTTGATAAATCCTTTGAGTCTTGGAAGTCGTATTCTATATCTTAGAATTTTTCTCTTTTAGGCTTTTACTATATGATTGTAGAACAATAAGTTATAAAGGTTCGAATTTTGGAGAGTGCATATCCGCGTAGATACGAATAATCCCCGATTGGAAGATGCCTTCCAAATTGCTTGGCCTTCGTTTCACGGGGAACATAGAATTGCCAGCTCAAGCAAGAGGTCTACTGCACACTTTGGTACTATGCAAGCGTGGAAAGCGTTGGTCCAAGCCTCCAAATATCAAATATACGTCTCTCGCAGTCTCGACCCCTTCTTAAATCTCTCAATTGAACACTATCTACTGCAACAATCCCCACCAAGTTCAACCGTCCTTTTCCTGTATGTGAACAGACCATGTGTTGTCATTGGCAGGAATCAGAATCCATGGCTCGAAGTAGACCTAAATTTACTTAAGCAACCTCGTGCCTCAGGGCATACCCAAAATGTAGATGGCAAAGAATCCAACCCGCTTTGGGAAAACGTGCAGCTCGTCAGAAGACGATCTGGAGGAGGCACTGTCTTCCACGATGAGGGCAATGTCAACTACAGCGTCATCTGTCCCACAGCCAACTTTACCCGCGACAAACATGCAGAGATGGTGACGATGGCGATACGAGAAGTCAATCCACGCGCCCGAGTCAACGAAAGACATGACATTGTCCTCGATCAAGGAAGCGTCTTGGAAGAAATGGATTGGCCTGACGCGGCTGATATGCATCGAACAATGTTCCATCCAAGCAGCGAAAAGAATCCACCCCTCAAGGTCTCCGGATCCGCGTACAAAATGACCCGGCAGCGGTCACTGCATCATGGCACTTGTCTCTTGGCGTCTGGGGGCTTAGCCAGGATCTCGCAGTACCTGCGATCTCCTTCGCGGCCTTTCATCAGGGCCAGAGGCGTAGAGAGTGTTCGCTCACCGATTAGCAACGTACATGAGACACCCAAAGCGTCGACCCCAAGGTTTAATAATTCATTTCAGATGGAGGTCACGAAAACATTTGCGGAATTGTACGGGATTGGGAGACCAGGTCGTATGTGTGGCTTCAGGGAGCTGTTTAATATGAACGATGGAGAGATACTATGTGACTGGGATAGCGAGTGGGTTACAGGCTTTGTAGGAAGCAAATTCGACAATATCGATGAGGTACAAGAGATACAGGAGGGTATCGAGGAACTGCAGGTTAGCATATCAAAGACCATTTCCAGGGCTCAGCTCATGTGAAGTGAAATTAGTCTTCCAAATGGCTCTATGGACAAACGCCGCAATTTACACTCTCGAGCCATTCTAATGAAGAAGATGAAAGGGAACGACCGCCACTACCGAAAGACTTTCCACCATCGGTACGTACATATCTCCCATTACTTATGTAACCTCCCCAGCAGAATCTGGTAACCTCGTAGCTGACCAACCTGCCATGCAGGCTCGTGTGTATCTCAAAATTAGGTCTGGAGTGGTTGAGTCCAGTAAAATATCGATATCCTCTGATGAGGACTCCGCGAACACCGAGAGAAAAAAGTTTGACCACGTCCTCAAAGACAAAAGGATCCATGATATTGGCGATTTCAACGATGTGCTCAACCGAGTCGAACATGGTGTCTCGACTGAGGTGTCGAGCATCTCAAGATGGCTTAACATCATGTTTGGAAAGTCGAGCTGAATGTCGGGATGAGTGAACATGATCCAGGCTCAGCTTACTGAAGATCATCAAAAGAGCCATTTCCACAATCCACTCTTTGGAAGGTCCCGCTCGCCGGTCTCCTTTAGCATCTTGTCTGTGTCTGCCACTTTCTTATCCACCGAAGGGAAGCTATCGTGCAGTGCAAGGCACCGCATGTCCTACGCACATTTTGGAGTCAGCACTGTTTCTTCATAGCAAGATACTGAGTTAGAGACAGGTCTAAAGATTGAAATGAGCTTTCACTCCCTGCGCTCAGGCTTGGTACTGCGGAAGGAATCTCTTCGTAATGTACGTACCCAGTCTTTCTCAAATTCCTCGAGGGATAGAGATTTGAGTTTGAAAGCTTGGTTGATTAAGGGAGGAAGCTTCGGTGCTCCTTCGCTGCTGTAGTATTCGACGATCTTTATTTCCTGCCGAGACGCCACATAGAACAGAGCATGCAACGAGATCCTGGTATACTCGTACTCCCGGAAAAGTGGCATCTCATGGATGATTCTCTTGCCAGACTCCCTGCGGGATTATTGGACTCAGCATGCATTCTTTACTTGAAGAACAAGTGCTGAAGTGATATTAGAGAGCGAAACGAGTTTCCCTCACGGAGAAGTTTTCGTTCGCCTCAGATCTCAGGACCAAATAGGAGGGAGTCGCTTCGAAGTGTACGTACCATGCTTCCTGGCTCGCACTGTACCAGAGGTCAAACGTACTTTCTACACGGCAGAGCAGCGTGGTAGCCTCTTCCTGAAGATCCATAATCTCTTCATAAGCAGACTCCGCATCGAAGAAGCGTCGCTTGATATGGTCGGGAATGTCATCAGGAATTGGAGCTTCGTTGTATGAGAAGCTTGCTGGTAGACCCGGTAGCTCGATAGACTTTTCAGCGTCGCTGAGGATCTTCTCGAGGTTCTGCGTCTCTGCGAGTGCCAGCTTGCCATTACGTTGGACCTCGACAAGAGCTTTAACCATGCCGAGTCTCTTCTTCCCTTTTCCGCGTGGCTTTGCTGCGGATCCCGTGAGTTGCAATGGATTGTTGTATTTCTGACGAAAAGAGAGCGCCGTCCCGGCAGGAACATCTTCTCCACGTCGCTTCTTTTCATCGTTATAGAGTGCCTGGTAGCTCTCCTCCACAAACCCGAACCTCTTCTCAACGTTGAACAGCTGGACTTGACGGAGGCAGGAGGTAAGAGGTAAGATTGTCTTGCCATAGATGTTGAGGTTGTGTATATCCAACTCCGCAGCCAAACGATCATCAGATGAGCGCTTTGAATCATTGGCAATGACCACAAGGTCGCTGATGCCTGCAGCTAAATTGGCCATCCCACGCTCTTCCTCATCTCTGAATATTTCGCAGCGCTTATCGTACGTCTCGGCGACCTCATCCAGATTGCCTAAGTCAAAAGTCTCCATCGGCTGGATTCGCTCATACATGGCTGGCTCACTGTTCCTCTGCTCGAGAGCGAGATTGAGTTCTCGCAGCACACCCCGAGGGCCGAAGATTTTATCGGATGTGTGCAATTTCTGGTACTCTTCAGGCGTAAGGTTGTTGTATTTTTCATCACCTGTCCTATCATTAGTCTCAATGACGGAGCACTTCAAAGGGTTCTTACCTGAGCCTGTATCTGCGACTTCTTCAGTTGAGGCATTGTTGTGAATGGCGCCAGAACAGCAGTCACAAATGCCGTTGCCAGCTTGGTTGAAGAAAGCTTGGGTGAGCATGCTGTCACGCAGCGCCTTCTTTTGACGCGACGGCATAGCAACAACGGAGGGCCTGAAGTACCGAATCGATGTCTTGATGGTCCCCGTGCGTGCAGTGAGCAAATGATAGAGCTGAGAGAAGCTGCAGATGTTGAACTTGATCTCACGATGTGCTGACAACTGCTGGTTGATGCCAAAGGTGATGAGCTCGAAGGTGATAGAAAGGAAAGGAAAGCGCACAATGTGCGACGGAAGGGTTCGGAGGTCGTCATGGTTGTGTGTTGACCTCGCGGTCACGACGCGTTGTGTCAATAAAGAGACTGGTAGGGAGCTTTGGAAAGAACCATGACAATTGTCTGGACTTACAGCCCACATCAAACCTATGGTCTTGCTTCTATGCTTCTTCACACCGCGTTCTCACTGTAGGAAGCCTCAAATCCCCCCACAATGGCCATAATCCACAGCAATAGTCTCACCTCAAAGGACAACACCTTGCCAGTCCTCTCCCTTGATGTTGCAACCATGTGGTCTCTCCAATTCAATTGATGGTCAACCACTTGAAGCTGTCACGATGGGTGAGAGTGGAGGGTATTCCCTTCACCAGCCGACCTCAACATTTGAATAGTTCGCCTGCAACCCATGCACGTTATCCAGCGTTCACCTGAAGGTAACATCTGCTTCAAGCCTCAGAGACCTATATCCAACATCCCCCTCCTTACCCCAACCGACGACTCCTGCACCCCTCTTCACCATCAACTCCCACCCCACCCGGCCCTCAAATTCGCCCCGCCCAACTCAAGCGCCTCGATCTCATCCTCCGTCCACGCCATCCTCCCGAACCTCTTCGGCAACTCACTCCGATCCCACACCTCTCCTTTTCCCGCATTCGGCTCCACACTCCCCAGCTCGTGACCCGAATGTCCTCCTATGCCACCGTAGGCATGTGAAGCGTTGATTGAAGAGGGAGGAGGCGATGATGAGGCTGATGAAGACGGTTGGGAAGATGAAGGGCGATGGTGGCCGCCGAGCGGACCGTGCTGCTGTGCTTTGCTGCGGTAGGCCATGAAGCTATCCGGTAACGAGTGGGAAGGGGAGGCCGGGTGGGGAGCTGGTTCGTTGGCTGGGGCGGCCGGGGTGATTGTTTCTGAGGTTGTTACTGTTAGTACAGTGGGATTGAGGAGCGGGATGGAGTCTTGGGGGGAAGTACTTGGCGGGACACGTTTGCCTAGGAATTTGATCAGGGGCGTGCGAGCGAGGAGGAGGCGGGTTGGATGCATGGTGGTGGTGGATGAGGTCTTGAGAGGGCGAGGTCGAATAGAGCTTGGGTGCGGAGAGGTTGATGCCAAGACTTGAGAGCTCCGCTGCGGGGGTGTGGATGTGAACGCAAGGACCTCATCCACATTCCCTCAACAAAGGTGTGATCAATCGTCGTCATGATAGCGAGCTCTTTATGATGTCTTCATATCCTTTGCTAAAGAGCATGCCGTGGACGCAGCATCGAGCCGTCTCAAGGGTTTAACACCCACGATATTTATCATTCCCTGACTGAAGATTACAACCCATCGTGCCAACGTGACATGGAACTACACCCTCTACCTTGAACACTCGCACCTAACTTCTCCATTCCCCCTAACATCCACCGTCAAACCGCCCACAATGCACGAGCTCCTCCTCTTCGGCACCATCCCCGCCTCGCGGCACACCCAGCTCCTCAACATCCTCTCCGGCATCTCCTCCATGCAACCCTCGCCCATCGACTCGGAAAAACACCTCGTTTTCAAGCCCAACCGCCCGCCCGGATCAGTTGGGTCTTTGAAAGTAGGCGGGGCGCAGGACGTGAATGTGCAGAAGAGTCAGATGCAGGCGCATACGCTGGGGGATTTGTTTTACATGCAAATGGTTGCTGAGGTATGTGGACGTCCGATGGTTTAGGGTTTTGGGGGGGGAGGAGGGGCTAATGGTTGCTGCAGGTGGATGGGAGAGAGAAGGGCGAAGGGGAGGAACGATGGGTTCTACAGTTCAGGGATTTGCCAGAGGTTGCGAGGCAGAGAACTGTGACTTCAAGACTTATTGCGGATGTTCGAATTACGTCTGGCGATCCGATGGAGTTCATGAAAGCGCTGGACTACTCGTACGTGCCGCTCCCTTCCTCGGCATGTGAGACTCTTTAGTGATTGTTACCCCAGGCATGTCTCAACCTACACTATCTCAGGCCATAGGTTCACCCATCACTCAGCTTCTCTCCTCCTCTATCGCGTCACTCTTCCGGCAAATGCCCTTAAAAGTGACTCGACAAGCGACGGTCTGCCCCAAGCACGCCTACTTGACCCATCAGGAACATACATATTGCAAGCCTCAGTGCGGGTTCAAGATGGTTCAAAGGTGGAAACAATGACAAAAGGTGTGAATGAGTTGCTTAGCTTGAAAGAAACCTTGAAAGGCGTCGTGGAGCTAGAGATCGGTGACAGATTGGCCTTAGATACTAGAGTCAGATAATGTCGAGACGACACCTAAAGACACTCAATACTTCTCCAAAATCAGCATCTGCTTGTCAGGCGTGCTGCCAGGGAAAGGGGCAGCCACAGTGGTAGAAAGCCCTGGAATGTTGAAAGTTTGACCCCGATGTCAGAGGTTGCTGGTCTGTAGAGCACTCTGCTCGGTTTGTTTCTGCACTTCGTTCGGCATACTTCCTTGGCCTGTTACCTTTGAGTGCACTAAACTTGGACGATATCCACAAGATTGCTATTTTTCTTCTGTGGCTTCGGTTCTCCATCGTTATCAGCTTAGTGATCTACAAGCGCATCAGGGCCCTATCCGCCTCCATTCCGTTGCTAGTCGCGTCCAGATTCGGTCAACAAACGGGAGGAAAAGACGGCATCGGCGTGACCAATTGAGAAATGGCGTTTTCTGTGGTTTTGACGGGTGTGGAGTTAGATTAGTTCATCGATAGAGTTCGCCCGTCATTTCACCAAGCGAACGTCGTCTGCTGCAACAAAAGGCCCGGAATGTGAAGCAAAAGACTGTCCACTTCAGGCCACCCGGCTGGGACCCTAACAACTTTGAGGATTCTGAGGCAGCAATGGGAAAGGCGGCATCGACTTGATTAAAAAGGGAACTCCATCTGCTCTGTGGATCTTAGTTCATGGATAGAGTTCGTCCGTTATGCTATCAATGCAGAGGGATACGATTGTCGTTAGCTGCTACCAAACGCCTGGACTGTGGAGCAAAAGACTCGGCTTCAGGCCGCCCGGCTGCGACCCCAGCAACTTAGGGGACCCTTGTGCAGTGAGCTGAGTCCTGACTGTTGAGAGCCTACGCCCAAGGGTCAAATTTGCGTACATAAATTTCATACCAGATTATTTTGCCGACGTCAGATCCGTAGATACGCAGGAACAAATCCCAGCACCACGGTGATGATTTCCTCCAGTCTGCGCACTACCAGCCGTTGCTGGTTCTCAACTGTCAATTCTCAGATCAATGGCCTGCTTCTGAGAATTCTTTCTCGATTGTTAAGCTAGCTTACATTGGAAATTGATTGGACGCGTGTATTGACATCAATAAGGTCCGAAAGAATTTTTTTGCCTGGGAAAATGTTCCAATCTACTTATTAGAATTTAAGAACAGCTTCGTAGTCAAAACTTTGACAACAAGAAGGTCTGAAGGAAAGCTTTTGCCTGGGACAATGTTTCAATCTACCTACTTATTAGAATTTTAGAACAGCTTCGTAGTCAGAACTTTCATCATAGAGTCGATGATTGTGGAGCTATGGGGATTGATGACCTTACCCTACTTGGTTGGCTTAACGACTCAGGAAAAACCCTCCTAAGTTGTGCTAGTTTGAAGGCTCCCTCATTTGTCGACAACTTGAAATCGCGCAGCGGACCGTAACCCGCTTGCGGCCTGCATGACCGCTTCGGGTTTCTGCGAATCGAAAGAGGCGACTTCTGCGCAATAATGGTTGGCCTGATCTTAAGCGCTGTCGTTCTGGCTTGTGATGGTCCGACCCCCACACCCGTACCGAAGGGGACTAGGTAGAGGAAGCATCCAGGTTGCATTTGAGGAAGCCCGAAGAGGTCGCCGTGACTTCATCGTGCCTTTGTAGTTGACGGTAGGTAATAGGAGGGGAAGAGGAACAGAGAGCAGTGAGATGGATACTTTGACCGTGTTGAAGTCAGCAAGAGAGAAGGCATGGCTGACGGAGTCGCATCAGCATCGAGGACTGCCAAAAGCCAGCCTTGTAAATCATGATGCGCAAAGCTTTTACCTTTGCACCAGCCACACGATGAATTTTGATGTCCTGTTGATAAGTGTTGTTGTTGTTGTTGTGTTGGGCGATCCTCGATGCAGAATTAACAAGACTGGCCTTGACATTTATCAAGCCACCGACTTCTTTCGGTGGTAGCCTGTAGGATGGATCAGACGCTACGCCATCGCATGCAAGAGAAGCACGTTTTGGGACTTCTGGAAGAGTGGAGCAGTGGCTTAACGGACGTGCAGCCCCGGCGTCTGCGAATGGTGGGGCTTGAGAAACAGTGGTGCCAGAACGGTGGTGCCAGGACTATGGAGCTAGATCAGTGGCTGCCAACTTTGACTGATATTCATCTACCTAGCTCACCATTGCGCTCGAGATATGCATCCAAATGCATTGCAGCTTGCGATAGGTACGTGATCGGAGAAGCATCTCTTGGTAGATATTCGGATCAGGGGTAGAGTCGACTGGGTGATGACGATCTGTTATGATAATTGACTTGGTGCTTCACTGCAGGGAAGAGACGGAAACTGCAAAATTATCAATTGCTCGGTTGGAGGTCCTCCCCTATCTTATAGTTTGCTTTGTAGTCTTGAGACCCTGGAAAGTCAAAAGGCGAGGAAGTCAAGAAAAACTAATATGTTGGTGTTTCGACTTTCGACACAAACAATTTCTCTTTCTCTCGAAAGAGTTGGAATTTCGAATGCATTATTGCTATGCAGGCGCGGGCAACGTGCATATGTCAAAAATGCATAGCGGCCCATCAGCTTTTTCCAACGGGGAAGGGAGGCTTAGGCTTTTTAGCCGTGAAGAAAGACGACGCCAAAGGTCAAGGGGGACCCCAGGGATCAGCAGGGGTATAAAAATCGTGGGATATTGGCCCTCCATAGCGGCCTCGTAGTTAAAAACTAGCGCCGGAAGCTGGGGTTCTCGGCCCTGTTCCGCCTCTTTAACGCAACATTGGTGAAGATGTTGCAACTCTTACCGTTGACCTTGACCTTGACCTTTCGACTCTGCAACATCGCACTTTCCGTCACACCAATGACCAGTTTGAGTCGTGAAATCTTTTGCCAATCAATTGCCGCGCCTCACCTCCCTGACACCTAGAGTAAAGCGAGCTCTCGCAAGATCACCTGCCCTCTATTCAGTGCTCCAAGAATGCCAAGATACAAGGAAGGTAGAAGTTGTAGACCTCCTGAATTGTAAACATAAAGAGTCGTCTACGACTCTTGATCAACCAAGATCTGGAGAAGGGCTTCAATCTCTGATGAAACGACGGAAAGCACGGTCAGAACTCAGAAGGTCCTTCCTCAACTTAGAGTAATTCCCATTTCCCTCCCTTTTGCGTAGTGTACGGGAACTAGGAAATCGGGCATGAAAGATGCTGACTCGATCAGCGTTACCCCTGCCCTCCCTATGATGCACTACTAGCCCCAAAATTTCCCCAAGTCTACCAAAGATCAAAGCAACCTCGACCTCGCTCTTTTCAATCCTGAAGGCTCTTGGCCTCTTCCATCCTCTACCTCCTCGAACATCTCCCCGTCCTCCTTGCTTGAAGTATCGCTTGTACCACTACTACTCTCCTTCGCTCCCAGGCACGGCCCTTGCTTATTGGATCCCCTCAGCTTCAAGGACTTTGTGAAGCCATTGCCTCAATTCTACAGTAACGAGAGATCTGACCGCTCAATTGCACTCTCCAGCAGCTCCTGTCGTGCCCAAAACAAATACACAATTGCCGAATGGTGGATTGATTGCGGATAATTTGACTGGGCTAGGCGCGAACGAAGGGTATGCAAACGTCCCCTAGCATTCCCCAGCTTGTTGTCATTCCTTACTCCACAACACACTTCGCTAACATTGGATCAAACATAGCCCTCTCCATGGTGGGACCACAACAGGGGACGCAAAACATACCCCGCGCTCTCTTCTCCAGACCCAACTTCTTTTGAGTCTTCCGAAAGCGGTGTCACGTCGATTCTCCAACTCTCGACACCGCCCCGTTTTGCTTCGTATGAGTTTGAAAACCCT